ATCTATTTTTCAGATTCAGTGTAAATCTGAATGAGAAGTTCCTGCTGGGCTAGGACCCTTACAGCTATTCAAGCTCAGAAATAGGGCTGCCTAAACAAGGTAGTTTAGCAAAAAAAGTAGACTATAGAGAAGTCCCCTCCAAACAAGGAGCCATTTCACTATGAATTCCCCACACTAAGTGTCAAGCCCTCATTATGCCTGCAGGTACCAAGCAAGACAGGTCCACCAAGCTCTTTTCTGTCCCATAAGGAAGTACACAGAAGGAAGTTAGACAGGAGAGAGAGTTGACAAAACAGGGAAGGCTCACAAACAGCACAAGCTATTCCTGGCCCTATGTTCTCTTCAGCTGTACTTCAGGCATAAGTCAGGCTTGTTATTCTCTACTTGCATGAACACCCCTCCAAAAACCAGCATCATCCACCAATTCAGCAGCTGGTTCTAAGAGCTGCCTTGGGACTCCCCATAACTGGGCTTGGTGAGTCACCTTCAAAAGCATGTCAAAGTTTATAATTAAGTCTGCAGTTTATTAACAATGTACCTCTTATTCAAAATAGGATACAAAAGGCATGCAATATATTTATTGAAATCACCTGTTTTGGAAGTCTCAAATAAATAAAACTACCTAGATGCACGTATAACCAGATGACTGAATTACACCTTCAGGTAAATCTGGACCAAGCTTGCCAAGATCATTTCATTTTCCAAACCTACACTTTCGATGCAAAGGTCCCAGGTACAATTCTCCAGGCTGTGAATCACAGACGACCAATCTAGATTATATTTGTCCTTTCCAGTGGAAAGTTACTAAATATCTGCCAATTGAACAGCAGCACATTCTGTCTACTTTTTTTTTTTTATGTACTAGAAAAGTGTTCAACACGTTTTTCAATCCAACGGGAGGATCTTAAGTCACCCAGTGCCACAAGAAAAGCTGAAGCTGAATTGTTATACACATCTGGGTACATATCCTTCCCCATCTCCTTCAGAGGAAACTTTTCTCACTCTTCCACATGGAAAATGAAATACAAGGTACAAATGTTGGATCCATAATCCCTCAGCTCTGAAGCCTCAAATTCCACTCTAGATCATGTCATGACACGTCTAGCTGTGCCAAAAGAAACTAGGTCTAATGAAGTATCTAGTCAAACATCACGAATGTGTGTTATACCAAGTCTGTTCCTTTTAAAGATGACTACATCTTACTATTTTCTGATAGCACTCCTTTTCTGATAAGGTCACCAACTTTACTGAAACAGTCAGGTTCCTCTTGGAGTATGCAAAGCATAACACTGGAAGGGAACATGACCTTTCAGACAGACTAAAAAAAAAGAAAAAAAAAATTAAGAGAACAACCCAGAAGGTCACCCTTACTACAGTTCAGAGACTACCTGCCTTCAGAAAGCAAACGCAAAGCATGGAAGTCACCACAGTGCACCAAAAGCACTAGCAGAGGTTGCAAAACCAGATTCCTTTGTTCTGCTGGTGATTTTCACCTTAGATTGCTTCAATATCACCTTTGATTCTAGATCCTGATATTACCTCCCAATTCTCTGCTAAAAATTACTTCTACTCCTAAGCAGTGTAAGTTTTTTTCTTAAACAAAGAATTAAGAACAGCTTCCACTCCAAGGTTAAAACATTTCCCTCTCCATGCACAGCTAAAGTTTTGTCCCAGCTTTAAACCAAAGCATTACATGTGAGCAATAAAAGGGTCTCTCCGAGCACTTAACTTGCAGTCAAATGGAACACAAAAAGGCCAAATAGGAAGCCATAATCCAGTAGCTCCAGGTTCCTTAACTCTCATCAACTGAATCTGCAAATCTAGAGCATGGGGAAAATCCGAATGGCTAAAGCTAAAGATCACTAGTGCCATCTGGAGGCCATACAGAACACCCCACCTGATGTTTTGTCAACCTCTGCTCACCTTGAATGTTGTCCTCCCAAGAGAGCTTGGACAGCACTTGCTGCACGAACACATCAACTCTACAGTCACAGAAGATGGGAAAAGCTTAAGAGTAATTAAAGATACTGGTTGCAATAAGCTTATACCTATCATGTGAAGCCAGTCAACTACAAGGCTGACTGTAGCTGACACTTCAGCTGAAATTACTCAGTGGGCATTGAAGCTTAGTAACAGAACTAGAACTACTCTCCAGAGTCAGGACCTTGGAAGAGAGATAACATCTCATTATTTCCTCTATACCAGTTTCCCAGTTATACTGGTAGAGCTGACTTATACCACAGAATATATTAAGATACCTAATATCCCATTTATTCTCCATATACTATCTACCTCTCACAGAGAGCTGTAAGATGGGATGCAATTTGAAGGAAAGGATAACTACCATTAGTAATACTGTGGTGTCCTGTTCCACTTCCCTTGTATGTCAACACCATGTGCTTCAGATTTGATTATCATTTAAACAAATGGAATCTAAACACACATAAAACTGTTCAGGATTTCAGAATGCTGAAAAGTGATTTGCAAGTATTACTGCCACACGGGATCTTAGCAAGATGGAGAGTCCAAAATTGTTGAGACTGATGCTTCTGGATGGATATCCAGAAAGAAAGTTTAAGTTAATTGCTCAGGGTTGACTACAACACTGTTTCAAGCTCTAGAATTGAATTCTCTGACTGTCAAAAGAACAAAGGAATTCAGCCAGACAGTCTCCAGGTTATCAAGCACAGACTATGGCTCACAAATTATCACAGAATCATAGAATATCCTGAGTTGGAAGGGGCTCACAAGGATCATCAAAACCCAATGCCTGGCCCCACACAGGACAGCCCAAAGACTCACATCATGCACCTGAAAGTGTTGTCCAAATGCTTCTTGAACTCTGGCAGGCTTGGTGCTGTGACCACTTCCCTGGGAAGCCTGTTCCAGTGCCAAACCACCCTCTGGATGAAGAACCTTTTCCTAATATCCAACCTAAACCTCCCCTAAGAACAGATCTAACTGTTGTGTTCAACTCCTTAATGCGTGGGTATAAAAACAGAGCCAGACTTTTCTCAAAGGTGCATAGCAGGACAAGAGACAACAGTCAAACTGCAACAAGGGAAATTCTGGTTAGATATAAAAAACGCAGACACAGTAAGAATGATCAAATGTTGAAACAGGTTGTCAGGAAAACTACAGAAATTCCATTCTTGGAAGATACTAAAAACTTTATTGTATAAGGTTGCAGAGCATGTGCCCAAACTTTGAAGGTCTTAAGAAGGAGGTTGGTCTAAAAAACTCCAGACTTCCCTTTCCACCTAAATAATTTGATGATTGTGTCTTAAGGGATTCACCAGAACTGTCTAATCAGTGTATTTCAGCAAGAAAAATATACTTATTTCCTTCCTCGCTTACTTCCCCAGACCTCTAATATTGGACTGGAATTGTTAAAACAAAAACAAACAAAAAACCCCACATCCCAAACCATACACGGCCCCATTTACACTTCCTCCTTCCCCACCACAAGGAAAACATGTTACTCTACTGTCAGAGATAAAAATGCACACTTATCCTCAGAGTAGAACACTTGTGTTTATACAGATGGATTTTTCCAGACGTAAACTCCTACAACAAGATCAGCAGAACCACCTTTAAGACATTAACGATGGTGCAAATCCTATTTTGAAGGCCTACTATGCACTGCCCATTCTGAGAACATCCTGCCAAAAACTCTTTTTTCCCCTCTCCACTTTCCAAAAACATGCAATATTAGCAATTAACAATTTAATTGCCAATTCTCAAGAGAAAAGTCTTGCATGCCACATATGCTTAAGGCTCCCTTTCTAGAGTGAATATAGTTGTCAAGCTTTCCACTGATGAAGATGAGCTTCTCTGTTCTGCCTCCCTTTAGGGAAACAATCTCTTCACATTATTTTTGAAGGCAGAGGCACATCACAACACACCTGAAGGGTATTCATCTATTTAAAGGGCGATATTTCTTGTGGGATCATTATTAATGTATTCTTTGGGATTCATTATCTGCTTTGGATAAAGATAATTTGGACTGAGTACCTACCCAAGTCAGAACCACGGCAGGCACGAACCCTAGAGATATTCATTCTGAATACATCATATGCGCTTATAAGACAGATACAGCATTACTTAAAACTGTGCAGAAGACAGTCCTAAGGTGCTCTTTTCTCTAACATAACTATACTTAAAACTCTAATCTGTTGGAAATTCAGAGGGGTGATTGCTTCAAATTTATTACTTACAGCACCAAGCCTGTCTGAGCTCAAGACACATTTGTACAACGCTCTCAGGCACGTGGTGCGATTCTCGGGGTGTCCTGCGCGGGGCCAGGAGTCAGGTTTGATGGTCCAATGGGTACCTTCCAAATCAGCATATTCTATGATTCTATAAATATTTAGCTAAACTTCTGTGATGAAGAGAAACAGGTCCTTTTGGTAGATAAGTACTCTTCCTGGGGAATTTTTGGTATCTTTCATGAAAATTAGTATCTTGCAGAGTAAAACCACTGAAGTAGTCTAAACTCACTTACTGGGTACTGCAGAAAATACAAATACTGACTTAGTATTTAGAAGAGTAGTTTAAAGTATTAAAACAATCACCAATACAGCCATCAACAGTTCTCTGACTGTTCTTCTTTTTTAAGATAAATTTGAGAAAGTCTGGATTCCCTTCACCTTGGAGAATGGAGAAGGGGCACAAAGGCACCAATAATCCAAAGAAGTTTCAAGAAGAATCCAGCCTTGAGAATGAACATGCCAATGATGATGTGTTTGGCCATTCAACCTTTAAGAGTTGAAAACTTGCTTTATTTATTACATATGTAATAAAATTCCTCACTCAAGATCTAATAATCTATATAAAGAAAACTGATGGGAAATGGCATGATGAAGTATCATATATATATAAACTCCGCAGAATTCCCTAACTGGCACTTCCCTCATTTACTATTGTTTCAGGGGTACAGATCCAAGACATGTCTGGATCATCAAGTGCAGGTACACTGAAATAGAACAGTCGTCCCCTACCTGGCCAATCCTTCCTCATAGAGATAGATGACAAGTGGATCGTAGGATGTAACCAGAACATAGAGGCGCACATCGAATTTGAAATCTGAAATACAGTTGTCAAGAGTCAGTGACTGCAAACATCTTTCAGACATCATATCCAGTTGAGGAATTTCAACAGACCCTGAGACTAATAAACCATTATCTGCTGCTGACATAGGTGCCTGAAGCTTTCCCAGTTGAAAGGTTTTCAGGTTTTAACGAATTCTCTAGTTACATTTTTCTGGTACTAGTCAAAGTTAGACCACTCAGTTATTCAACTAAATTACTGTAAACGTTAAAGAGATCCTCAGATGCAAGTTGGGGGAAGAGAGAAAAGCAATTCCTAAGCACACTCACCATCTATGAGCAGGGGGTTGTTGATGTAACGAGAAACCAGGATGTTGTCTTCCACAACAATCTGGCTTGGCTGCAGAGGAACAGAGAATTCAAAAGTGAAAAAACAGGAGGCTTAAGGAATAAGATGACAACTAGACCAAACTCATCATTTTTTCCAGTCTTGCCCTCCTAAAGCCACCCTATACCAATCACTACATCTGGAGAGGGAAGAAATAAAAACAAAATGAAAAAACTTAACAGTCAGTCACAACATATTTAAGGTAATTAAAACCCACCCATTGAATCTTCCAGTGTAATGTTCCTTAGAGTAGAATACAGATTTAGCAGCCACATGGCAATGATGTAAAATAAGCAGGAAAAAAGACATATCTAAGAAGTGATTGTTATTCTGTTTGCTCCTCAAGGGTTAACCAAACACATAAAGGAGGGGTTTAGAAGACACTGGAAGGAGCATGTAGCTACAGTTGGTAAGGAAGTCACAAGTGAAGAAAATGATTCCTCCTTTATAACAAATCCTGGGCTGGTATCCAACCTTCTTGCCTACATGAATAAATACTGTCTACAGAGGCTCAGTTCAGGGCTCCTGTGCCAGGAAGAAGCTACCCTTTAGGCTCAGAACAGAAAGCTCTAACTATGACAAACATACATTGCAATGTCATGGGATCTGTTGAAAAGGCTTTTACTTTTTGCTGTAGGCAAGCCTTTCTTGGGATCAGTTTTAACTAGTCGTACAAACAATTTCTTGTACATTTTCTTGTCTTCAGTTTGCAAAAGAGCCAAGATAACCACATGATTCTGCCTTTATCCAATTTTGCATGTGTTCAGCCACAACACCAGCATCATGAGCAGGAAACCTAAGCATATAAAGTGCATTTATACAGTGTGAGGGAACAAGCTAAACTTCCCTCAGCACATTACACAAAAGTGACATCCTGTTCTATTATGGATCAGAGAAATGCAAAGGTTTGTTATTTTGTTAGTGGAGGAGGGTCGCTTTTAAAAACTTTCATGATGAGATTCTAGAAGACACTCCTTTAATGGCATCACACTGAAGGAAACTGGCTTGTGGGCTAAACTAGCTGAAGTGTTTCTGGAACAGAGATAATACACAAAGGGATATTGGTCCCAGAAGGGTCTTTTCCCCAGGTCATGGTGAACTGCCATTGAGCCTGAGCTCATTCCTCCCTTTCAAGCAAAGAAAACTGAGTGCAGCTCTGGAAATACTTACCTCATACACTTGGCGAATTGCTCCCTTATTTTATGGGAAATGATCCAAGTAGAGAACAGATGAGGCAGCATGACCCCTTCAGTGCAGGGAAGGCTAAGGGGCTTTGAATGAGTGGGGGAAAAAAAAGGACTCAACAGTCAGTTTCACTGCTGAGAATATTTATTAGAATCCCCTCGTGTATTTGGCTCCTTTTCAGATGTGTTTGTTACCTATGACAACCTAACTCCCTGCAAAGCCCAATAAGAGCAGAAGACAATATAACCAGCATATTAGTTCAAAGAACTACCCTCATTACACCTCAGGAAGGGCACACTGGCCTTTAGATAACAGCTTTAAGACTGACATACTTCCTACTGTATAAGGTTTCCTTTTAACTAGTCTTTTTCATGGGAAAGAGGGAGACAAGGGGTCTGTTTGAGGACTGTTCAGGTCCTCAGGGAAACAACTAAGGAGAGAGTTCTAGAAATCTTCCCAAGGCCAGCCTACTGTCAGCCACAAGGAGAGCATGAAGCAGCACAGCTTCCCAAACTCTCTCAGGGAGTATAAACTTACTCCTAATAAGCTAAGACTTGAAGGTAGATTGCAAGATAAGCACAGCGTACAAAGAAATAGACTGCTTTTGGTTACACAGCACAGGTCCAGGTAGGCTTTGCCAGCTGCTCAGGGCTGTTGAACTGCTTACCAACATATGCTTGAAATTCAGAGTAGGGACAGTGTTTGGTTATGTTGGCCTGGAAGCCAACATAGTTTTGAACACAGCGTTACCGAAGAGCATTCCTTTTGCTGAACACTTACATTGTTTATCAGGTAAACACCTCGACCCCTGGAAGAGGCCACGGGCTTCACTATCCATGGTCCTCTGTCCTTAGAATAGGTATCTGGTTAAAGAAAAACAGCACAAGTCTGAAATATCTTCCATTTTGCTTATTTGCAGAGAAACAAGAATCAAGAATGTTGCCTATATTCCTAAGCCCTAAGTCTCCTTTTGGCACTTCTCTCTTCAGTTCTCCCGGACATTAGTCAAGGATATTGTGAAGCTGATCATCAACAACCCTGTGCACATAAAACTCGATTTTGGAGCTTGGCCCACATCAGCTTCTTGAGGACTTACACAGGCACAGAGCAAGCAGCAGAAAGAAATCATGTGGGCTTTTTCCATTGTCTTTCCAGTTTTCTTTAATTTTGTCACCTTAAACGCTGGCATAATCAAAAGGCTAGGATATTAAAAGTAATTCCCTTTCCCTCACCCAGTTATTTTGCTTTAGGTCTGGGCATCACTAGCCATTCACTTACTACAGAAGTCCTGGTACTCTGTCGGGAGGATAAAGGTCTGAGGTAAGATATGGAATGTCTTGAATCCATGGGCCAGCTGCATACGAGTGACATTCCTGTACAGTCTGTCCTTTCGTGTCAGTTCATACGACCTGAAGTCCCAAAAAAAGAGACTGTATCTATTTTTTTTTCCCCAACGTTACAGCAACTCTTTATCCTAGATATTAAAGTATCTTAGATATTAAAGCCCTATAAGTTGTCTAAACCCTAACCTGCAACACTCAGTAGTTTTACTGTCCTATCACTGTATTAATATCATTTGTAGCACTTCTTGAAATTCCCAAGACAGACTGAAACACAGCAAACTGTTGGAAGGCTGGTTGCAAACCTTAAAATGGGACATATGACTATCTGTAACTGAAAACCCAAAGTCCCAAATACTTTACTTACACCATCAAATAAAGAAAATAAAATTAAAAATCCAATAAATCCAATATTTGGGCTACAGACAAGCACTTCAACTCAAACACTATCTCCCCAAAACCCCAAAGACCATTTAGAATGAAGACAGCATGTGGCACAGGCCCAGTATGCTGGGACGTTATCATGTATACTCTATTTTTTAAGGTATCTATATTCAAAGTTTTGCAAATCATCACAGAGATATTCAGCAAAACATGATATCAAGGCCTTACCTAGGGAAATGATTGACTTTCTGAATATCTGTAAGGGAACGCAGCAAGTAGGGCTTCAAGTGTGATCCTGTCCACATGAGATTATAATCAGTGCTATTAGGGTGAACCTAAAAAACAACATAAACACACATACAAAACCACAGAACTAATGAAAAGCAACAGCACTGGTCCTTAGGTCTATGAGACCAAAGTAGTTCTAGTTTAAGACCATCTCCTCTACGCATCTCTAATATAAGAGTAACTCCAGCCAAACTCCTGCCCTAAGCTATTTCCGTCCTGGGAAATAACCGTGTCATATTTTTCTAAACAAACTTGTGAGTTTGTTCTTTTTGTAAACTATTTAAACCCAATTTTTAAAGCGTTTTATATCTCTTCAGGAAACTTGTGAGACCAATTCCTTAATCTGGTGTTATTCAGAAAAAAATCCACCCTAAACACACGTCTCAAACTGTCATTAGGGGCATACAGGAGACTTTTTAGAGAAAGATAGGTGATGGAAGAGAAATGTGGAACTCTACACCAATACTTCTGTGACCTTGTAAAGGCTGAGAGATTAATTCCTTCAGATCTTTCCAAGGGTATGAGATGAGGCTTTAAAAGCAAAAAGATTAAAAACACATTACCAAAACTTCATCATCCCTTTTTCCTCTAATTTTGCAGGCTTAAGACTAAAGGGTACTCCTTTGAGAGTGCAGAATCATGACATATTTTCAGTCTGACCGTCAGAGTACTTTAAAAAGAAAAAAAAAAAATAAAAATTCTCGAGGGGGTCCACAGCAGCTTCCTGGTTCTAACCCTGCAGAGTAAAAAAAAAAAAAAAAAGCCAACCCACAAACAAAACACAAAAAACCCCCAGAATAACATCATTGTCATCATCACCTCCCAGCCCAGCACATAACCAGATGAGAAGTTCATGGTACTCACCTCATGGAACCCATGGGCAGTCAGAATGCTTCGAACCAGCCGGCTGTCTGTTCGCACTATCTTGTAGGACATGTGGTAGCGCTCTGTTAAGAGGCAACGAGACATGATATTAGAGTCTACACCTAGAATAATAAACCAAAGTTACTCATGTTACCAAAGAAGAGAAAAGGACTCAGCATAGTACAACTGCATTTAATTCACAGAGAGTAACAGCACATAACAGGGAAAGGGTGATAGGAAATGCCTATCCATCTCTTGGAGCATTAACTCCAATGATGTCATTGAACTAACTTATCCTTAGTTATAAAATAGTTGCACCACTGAACCCTACTGTATCAAAAGAAAGCACAGGACATCCTAACAAATACACGAAGTATTTTTTTAAAACATCCCTGTATATAGACTGCTTTATAACACTCCAAACATGATTTTAGCTCTTTCTTCTCTATTCAAGATCAGTATTTCTAGCTAAAAGTAATCCTCATGCCTCTTACTGACACGGCTAGCTTATATGATCACCTTTTAGATCACAACAACCCAAAATAAAAGACTGAATTTTTGTTTACACCTCATCCACCTGTATTGATCTTCCAACAAATAACTGCAAAATGTATCAGGATATAAAGTAAATAGGACAAGGAGATAAAAAGATAAAATCGATACCCAAGTAGAAAGTCATAAAAACAAAAGCAGTAAACTCTACTGGAGGTATAAGGTAAACTGAAAGCAAGTAGCAAGACTAGAGGCCAGTTGTCATATAAAAAAATGTGGCATCCATAAAAGTTCCAAGAGAGAAGACACAGAAATTGCAATGCTAGAATGACTCAAAAAGGCACTTTAAAAATTGGTTCAAACTGAGAATAAAAAGGTGGAGATTAGATTAAACCTCAGGAAATATGTTCTATCCACAAAAATAAGTCAAAAGAGTAAGAAGTATCATAATCTGGGACCAGACAAAGCAGAAGGAAACTTAATGAGTTGCACTATTCAGCAGTAGACTTGTTAAATCACTTGAGAAAAAGCAGAAGAGACTCCACACTCCAGTTAGAATACAAGTTACAATTACCATCGGCTTCTGCCACCATCCACGTATGTTTCTAACTCACATGAAAAGGATCAGGAGTTTCCACATATAAATCACCTTCTCCACCCCTTACCCCAGTGAGCCAGAAGCATTTCTGCTTGGATAGCATATTAGAAATGAAGGCATCAATTACCTAAGAAAGGAAGAAGCAAGAGAGGAAAGAAGTGTCAGCACCTTCACAGAAAGAAGATTTTAAGGTTTTCTCCAACTCAGCACATCCAGAATACGCACCCAGCTGTACACACCCAAAAGTACTAACTCTCTCAATCCAAAGTGATTGTTTTTAACAAGCTAGCCTCTTATTTAGAGGCTCTCCCTTATTTGACACAAGACAGGTTTGGTCTCCCAGTTCAAGTGCTGCCAGTAGTCATTTTGCTTATGGCCTTCTCTCACTTGTGAGGCTGTAGATGCACAGACCTGTTACTACAGTTTATTACTGTCCATACAACTGTGGGGCTGGCTGCTTTATTTCCCAGTGAAACCCCCTCAAAACTCACTGCAATGACTGATTTTAAAGTTCTTAGCTATAGTGAATTTATATTCTGGTTCTAAATTCCAGCATAGCCTCCACGTTCAATTTGAAAGCAGACAGTTCCAACTCACAACACATCAAGAACCAATGGAGGGACAAACACAGACACTTGTCACAATCCAAAAACATCATACACATTCACCAGTGAATCAAGCATTTCTGAACATCTCAGTGCTCAAGAGACAAGAGAGGATTGCAATTTCCGTCCTCTTCCACAACACAAAGAGAAGAGACTTTCACCTCATGCCTTCAGGCCAAAACCTCCCACATAGTAACACCCACCTCCAATGAGGCGGAGGTAGCTGTCCTTGGTCAGAATGGCTTCAGCATGAAATACCAAGACAGGGATCCGCCTGCAGCCACCACCGGTCCACTTGATACATGGATGATCCCTGAAATGACAAGACAGTCAGTATAAGCAACTGCTGAGCCTCATACACGCAGTTACTTACAATGAGGACACAGCAATTCTCCGTACTTGCCCATGTTTGCCTACCTAGCCTTTGGGCAGGACACAAGCAAACACACCATGGCAACAGAAGGATGGTGAGGAGGATTGTAAACACAGCTAAGTGACTTGCAGCTTGGATGTGGAAAAATACATGTAACATTCTAATTGTTGTCTATCCTGGTGTGTTTGACAAGTAGGACATCTGTGGTCAGATAACGCAGGATCTAATAGACTCTGAGGCACCCTACTGAACATGCCTGAAATTCCTGTCCTGCTGTGGGAAAGGTCAAAGCATAGTGGTAAGCTACATCTGCAAGAATCCCTGAAAAACAGGTGTGAACAGCAGCTTCAAGTGACTCTCTAGCAAGGACCAAGCTCCACAGTGCCTGTATCCCTGCTTGAATGCCTCTGCCCAGGTGCTGCTTTGGGGATCCCACAGTTAGCAAGGTAACGAAAATAAATTTACTCTCTGCATTTTGGCCATGATTTCATGGTTGCTCCCAAGCCCTGCCTGTGCTGACTTGCATACCCACACACACACTAGGCATCTGTGGTGGTTCCAGGTCCCACCCTAGCTGGATACCAGGTACCCACCAAAGCCACTCTATCACTCCCCTCTGCAACTGGGCAGGTGAGGAAAAATATAATGACAGGCTCATGAGTAGAGAGAAGGGCAGGGAGAGATCACTCACCAATTACCATCATAGGCAAAACAGACTCAATCTGAGGAAATTAGCTGAACTTACTACCAATCAAAATCAGAGCAGGATAATGAGAAGTAAAACAAATCTTAAAAACACCTTCCTCACCACCCTCCTCCCTTCCCAGGCTAAACTTCATTCACAATTCTCTACTTCCTTCCCCACGGTGGCAAAGGGAGACAGTGAATGGGGATTACGGCCAGTTCATCACACGTTGTTTCTGCCACTGCTCAGGGAGAGGAGTCCATACCCTGCTCCAACATGGGGTCACTCCCACAGGAGGTAGTCCTCCACAAACTTCTCCAGTGTGAGTCCTTCCCATAGGCTACAGTTCTTCATGAACTGCTCCAGCATAGATCCCTTTCCACAAGGTGCAGTCCTTCAAAAACAGGCTGCTCCAGCGCAGGGTTGCATGGGGTCACAAGTCCTGCCAGTAAACCTGCTCCAGCATAGGCTCCTCTCTCCATGAGTCCACAAGTCCCTCCCAGGAGCCTATTCCAGCACAGGTCTTCCACAGGGTCACAACTTTCTTTTGGGCATCCACCTGCTCTGGCATGGGTCTCCTCCAAGGACAGCCTGCCACACCGTGGTCTTCACCACAGGCTGCAGGGGAATCTCTGCTCCAGTGCCTGAAGCACCTGTTCCCCTCTTTCTTCACTGACCTTGGTGTCTGCAGAGCCATTCCTCTCACATATTCTCACTCTTCTCTGAGCACAATTACCTCTGCACAATAACTTTTTCTCTGTTATCACAGAGGCACTACTACCATCACTGATGGGCTCAGCCTTGGCCAGCACCAGGTCCATTTTGGAGTTGGCTGGCATTGGCTCTGTCAGACATGGGAGAAGCTTCCAGCAGCTTCCCACAGAAGCCACCCTGTAGCTCCCCTGCTAACCTGGCCACGTAAACTCAATACAGCATCCTTGGTACTCAGCTATAAAGGGAATCTTCCAGATCACCCTCTTTTTGGGTTGTTCTTGCCAGCCTGAGTTCTGTTTAATTCGTATTTATTTTACTGAGTACAATTTGGGAAAAATCTCACGAGCTTCCACAGCTACAGTTCTCTGAATGTATAGCCTGAAAACAGCATCTATAATTCAGGATAAACCACAACTGCTGGTATCCACACAATCAGCCCTTGCAATGCAGGTTTCAGCCTCCAATTTCAGAACTGCAAATCAGTGTGGTCTGCCTGGTTGCAATCCTGGACTCTGAAGTGCACAGAAAGGCACTAATGCAGAGTTTGAGAGACTAGAACAAGCTTGGTTCAACACAATGGATAAACTTGTGTGTTCTTCCTTTTTAATTCCTGTCAGATACAGTGGAACGCAAGTCCAGAATTCAAGAACAATGTCCCCAGTCCGCCACTCAAGCCACAGGCTCTGGGATACGGTCATCAGTTCTGTGCAAAACAAACAAGACAGCATTGGGAACTATCGTCTCCTCAGAGGAATTAAGAACACATCAAAGAAATTAAGACCTGTCACATGAAATTCTAAGATCACCCAAAGGAAACCTGTCAACCTCCCTAAGCAAATAAAACAGGCTGCTTATTACTCACTGCGCAAGGAGATTAAGAAAAAGTTAACAAAAAACAGAGACTGAGGAGTTGGAGAGACATCTTTATCTACACTAACAAGAAGAAATACAAAGACTGGCAGAGATACACAGAAGCATTTGTCTAAAGAATGTGCAAGATCATTGTCTGCCAAAGGTTTGGAGAAACTAGAGAAGACAAAACACTTCCAACACTTAAAACACATGAACAGAGATAAAAGGGCAGTATTCTGGTGGTGGTGCATCTCCATCCCACCTCTTCCTAGAGCTAGAACAAGGGCTCTTAAATGTAGCCTTGGTCTCTTAACCAAGTTATTACCATTATCACCCAGACAAATTAACTTCATAGCACTCCCATGTGCTTCCACTACCTCTAAAATATAGTTAAAAAAAACCCAAAACCTACTACTAGGGTGTAATTAGCTGTTAAGACTGGAAGGGACCCAAGAAGCTTCCAGAATTTACACTACAAGCCAGAGCCTTATGTAAGTGGGCAATGAGCTGAGGCAAAAGGACAGGAGTTTATATTAAGCCTGTCCTGAGGATTTGCAGCAAGGCTCAATCCTCCCACTGAAAGTCATTCATTTCTAGCATAACCCTTGGCCACTTGATGCAGACACACTTTTAAAGTTACATTCTAGGTGAAGTCAGTTCTGGACCTTTCCATCCATGAGGATCTAGCAAGTCCAAGCCAACCACTTGGTATGAACTAAAATTCCTCTAAATGCCTTCAGTTGCTGCAGTTTGTAACTGGGCACTTAGGCACAACGTGCACCCAAAAGAAAACTAACAGGACATGTTACAGCTGAAAAGAAAAGGGATGCCACTCTGGCAAAGAATAAGGGAGCAACTTCTTCATAAGCAAAGATAAAACAGGTTAGTAAACAAAGCTGGAACAAACATAATTACTTATACTAGTAGTAACAGGAACTCTAGCAGTTGAGTTCTCACAAGACAGTTTTTTGAAAGGACATAGAACATTGTATATCATTCTACTGTACAGATTTCTATTCTCTGCAGCAGTAAAAGCTAAACCAAAAAACGAAACAAACAAAAAAGGACATAATAAAAAAAGTTCCCAGCTTAGGAACATGACAGAAAGAAATCAATGAAACTGCAGACTTCAGAGCAGCCAAGGAAAAGCTGCACGTCCAACCCTACGATGGTCTTTTAGGCTACCAATGTAGCCTGCCCACAGGCTTGAGGCCCAAACCAACCATCTTCCACTTTATAGGTAGGAGGGTAAGAAATGCATCTGTCTTTTCAGATTAGTACAAATCCTGCAGGAAGCACAGACACATAAAACAGTTCAAAGGGTTTTTCCCTACTTACTCCAGTCCATCTATAGCATCTTCCTCCTCCTCTGAGGATGAGCCAGTTTCCTCCAGATCTTTAGCCATCCCAACTGGCATTTCCTCTAGGAGTTTTCATACAGCCCAGTCTCGGTAACCTCCAAAACTCCTTCCTGAAGATTCAAGGGCTCTTGCAAGAGTGATCACCTGCAAAAAAGATTAAAAGCGCGAATGCACAGCTGAGCAGGGCAGCGAGAGAAGCGAGATAACTCCCACCTCCTACCAGTACATATTTCTCGCAGGACAATCAGCGAGCGTATTACAGGCTGTAAATCACCTCCTAGCCAGGAGAATAAATGAAGAACCATCACCGTCTAAGAGATTACTCCCCACCTGCCCATGAGGGCGCCTAGAGCGCGTACCGCTGAAGCACGTCCCGTCCTGCCCCGTCCCTGCCCTGCCCTGCCCTGCCTCTGGCCGCACACCCGCGCCAGGCCGGCCCGGCCCAACGGGAAACGCCCGCCGAGACCACCCCTTCGCCCGGGGCCAGCCGGACACCGTAACGCCTCCACCGGCCCAGGAGCGGCCCTCCGGTCCCAGGGGCGGCTGCGGCCCGGCCTACCCCGCGCCAGGCCGAGCACGGCGACACCCGGCGACCCCAGAAACAGCAAGAACGGCGGGGACCCGCACGGCAACAAGTCGCTGTGCTCGCTGTACCTGCCCCGCGCAGCCGGACCGGGCACACCCAACGACCCCGGCCCCTCCCGCCGCTTCCCCGTTACTACAACAACCGACGGGCGGCGGCCCCGCCCCGGCGCGCAGGCGCCCCCCGCCGCCGCACTGCTCAGGCGCGCTCACCGCCCCCCGCCTCCTTCCGCGAAGGGGGCGGGGCCGGGGCCGGGGTAGAGGTGGGGCCGCCTCCCTCGCTGAGAGGGATCCGATTGGCGGGGGTGGCCCTTACGTCACGTGGCGCGCGCGTGGAGCGGAGCGCAGCGGCCAATCGCAGCACCGGGCGGTGTCGCGCGCGGGGCGCTGCGGGAGCGCCGTCGGTAACGGGCCGAGTCCGAGCAGCGGGAGGATGAGCCGGTTCCTGAACGTGCTGCGCAGCTGGCTCGTCATGGTGTCCGTCATCGCCGCCGGGAACACCCTGCAGAGCTTCCGCGATCACGGCTTCCTCTCGGAGAAGCTGTACACCGCCAGCCCCGGCCTCGGTAAGGGTCGCGCCGGCCGCCCTGGCGCCTGGAGCTCTCCTTCCAGCCATGGGCTTTGGGCTCTCCTCTGGTCCCACCTGTGGCACCCGCCTACTGCGCCGCGCCGGCAGGACTGGGGGCGGCAGGCGGGGCCATGCGTGGTCTCCATGTGCTCCTTCCTTCCTTTGCGCAGTGAACGGGCTCCAGGCTCGGACCTTCGGCGTCTGGACTCTGCTGTCGTCAGTGATCCGCTGCCTTTGCGCCATTGACATCCGCAACAGGACGTATGTAAAGAAACGCCCGATTGGTTTGCTTACTAGTCATAGCCTCAGCAGCTAGCTTAGAGGGCAGCGCGGAAGAGGTGGGAAATCAAAAGCTATTCCTAAACGTCCTGTAGTGTTGACAGCCTTCCCCTGAAAAAGCTCAAACACCAGTGCAGGATTTGCGTGATAGCAGCTGCTCCCTTCTGCCTCTGTGGGGACAGCCTGTGCATTTGATTTCTGTTCTTAGCTCAGGCAGAAATCGGTAGATCTGAGAGCTTCTTACTCTCACAAGTTTCTGAGCTCCAGCTTGAAAGCGTTTTCTGATGGTGTTTCTGTTCTGTTGATGAAGCAATTGCTAATGCTGATGCTCAATACTTTTTGTACTATGACAGCTCAGCTGAAGACTGTGGCAGGTTGAGGCGCCCCCTTGCTGTGGCCTTAACCCACTGCCTTCTTCCCTACACTCTTACCGGGGGCGGAGGACAAGGCCTGAGGTGCAGCCTGGTGCTGAGGTGGGAGGCAGGCCATTTCTCCCTGTGCTAACAGAAATGTTTCTGAGAGGGATTTCCAAGCAGGCTGACTCAGGGTCTGTGCTAGGCAAAGCCTTTCTTGGAGGTTGTTAGAACACACTCTTTTGTCACTGCTTCCCTAAGCTCCACAGCAGAAGTCACTGTTCACCTGGCAGCACATCCTTGGATTGCCTAGGCTTGTCTGAGGTAGGGAGGTGCAGGGATTCAATTATATGTTTTTAGGGTGTGGTGGCAACACCAAATCCCATTAAGTCGGTTGTTCCTTTGAGGGATTTGATCTTGGATCTCTTGGACCTGCTCCCTTTCATCAGCTGTGGGCCCTAGGGCATAGCAGAGCACAGGTGGGAAGACATGTTGGGTGATGCAGCCTGGAGTCAGCCAAGTCCTGTCACCCCAGTTCTCTGCTCACCCTGTTGTCACCCTCTTTTTGTGGTTTTTGTGAGAAGTTGCACATACTTCTCACTTCACTAGTGCCCTATTCGTGCTCTCCTCTCTTCACCTGCCTTCAGGCCAGATAACGCCTGTGACTTTCAATGCACCACTGAACACTCGGCCCCATTCTCCCCTCTGCTGTTGCCCAGGGAGTTTTTGCACCTCACTAGGCAAGGGACCAAGTGCCCTCTGTGCTGACAGTGAGGGCAGAGGGGACAGCATGCAGGTTTGCCTCTTTTCCACTCAGCCATACTCATGCCCCTAGTATGATATGATAACCTGCTTTCTTCTGCTCTCCAACAGCCTTTATCACATCACGCTCTTTACCTTCTTTTTGGCCCTTGCTCACTTCCTCTCCGAAGTCTTCATTTACCACACTGCAGCCTTGACAATTGGAGTTATGGCACCTCTCATGGTAGCAAGTGAGTATTGCTCTGTATCCTCCCCCCACAAACTCCCCTTGGAGCTATGACCCCCCAGAAAAACTCCCCATTCAGCTACAGGCTACGGGCAGGGATGGGACGGTGGGAGAGAATGCTTCATCTCTTGTCCAGCATTTTCTACACAACTCATCCTGTATCTCCATCACAGGTTTCTCTATTATGGGGATGCTGATTGGGCTGCAGTACCTGGAGGTAGAAGCACTATCACAAAACAAGAAGAAAAACTGAAGATGAGGGCTCTGTATAGGTCAGCGTCATCCCCGGTCTTCACTGCCAGACTTCCACTAAAGCTCAGCTGAACTTCTCCAGGACACCAGTCCCAGTGGTGGATCAGTGCTGGACTCTGTCAATCACTGTTCATTACCAAGTCTTTTTTTCTTGTCCAGGCAACATTTCAACTGACTGATGTCAAAGACCCAGAGGAGTTTGTGTCAAGCTTGTGGGGGGCATTTGATGACTGACTCCCTGGATAGCAGGCAAAGTCTCAGGCATGCCCAGTGCACTAAGGACTTCTCTCCCAGTGTAACTGTAGGGAGAAGGTGCAGGGCTATCTAGGATTCACTGAACACTTTGGACCAGAAAGAGAGAATAGGTGCTACCCCTGGCACTGCCGTGTAACTTGCATGTATGTGTTCATCAGGGGCCATTTCTAATAAATGACAGAAAACTGCAGCATGCTATGTTTGTCTTTCTGCTACACAGAAGTGGGTAGAGGATCAGAGCCTTGTACTCTATGTTGCAGGATACATCATCTCTCTTTACAGCAAACCTACCTTTGCCTGACTCCTTCCCAACAAAGTTCCAGGTCTGACTGCTCACATCACACACGTGAAGAGGGTTGCTGCAGCTCTCCCTTCCGCAGCATGCTGGTGATAGCAAATTTGAACTGTATGCATCTGTGAGCAAGGACTGACCTACCTGTGTAGTGAACTATAACTGTAGAAGATGAAGAAAACACGAGCAGGTTGCTTAGACCTAGACAAAATAATGCCCAAAACAGTGGGCTGCACACAGAAAGTAGGAAACAACCAGCAGGAACTCCTAGCTGGGAAGACAATTCACATGCAGAAGAAAGAGAGGAAAAACACGGAAGAAAAGAGCACAGCAGTAGCACTGGGCAGAAAAATGATTTTTCCATTCTGCAAAACATTTCAGCCTGTTAAAAGAGCTACATGTAGATTGTTTCAAATATTTAATATGAATCTGTCAGGTTTCATTGTACACTTCCAATGTTTTTACATTAAAACTTCTATTTAAAATCATTCTAAACCCCCATCCTCAATCCCAAACTACCAAAGATAGGACTTTAATCATAGAATCTGCTGAATTGGAAGGGACCTATCAGGATCATCAATTCCAATACCTGGCCTTGGGCAGGACACCCCAAGAATCACACCATACACCTGATAGCATTGTCCAAACACTTCTTGAACTCAGGCAGGCTGTATCAAAATGCAATGTATCAAAGACTGTTATAATTTCACCCAAAAAATATTTTGTCAAAAATGGTATGTCAGAGAGCAGTATTTTTAACTGTTCCACCTCAGTGCAGTTTTTGTCCCCTCCTTCAAATGATAAATGAATAACTGCGTGATTTAAGGACACTTGATGTCTCCACCAGGGGTGGGATGCTGCAAATGAAGGAGAAGTGATGTAAGGATCTGCATTTATGTTTAGAAGATAAGCAGCATACAGATGGGTAGTGTCTATAAGACACAAATGCTGGTAAGAGGGCAGCTTCTACACTGGAGCAAATCTGGATTCCCATCATACCCCTCTCTATGGCTGTGAAAAGCAACACAGCCTTGGCTGGTTTTCTTAATATAACACTTCACAAAAGTTTCTATGTACTGTTGAAACATGCAAAAGGCACTTTTTTATTAAGATGGAAGACAGTCAAACTTGTGGTTTGACTCACTAATGTATTACTAATATTACTAATGTAGTGACGAGCTAGGCTTAGGTTGCAGAACTAGTCTTGCCTCCAGGTAGAAGGAGGCATATTGGTATCTCTCAATTACTCCTAATATATAGGGACATCAGGCCAACCCCAGTGAATTCTGAGCAGAGGTTTATCCAGACTAAGAGTGCTTCATCTGGGAAAGCCAAATAATAAAAACAGAGCTGGCAGTGACTGATGCACTGCTTTTCACTTGCTGGTGATGTACTGAGGCCTCCACCATCACCTGTGCAACACAGAGGATCACAGGCACCGAGGCAGAGCAATCCCTCTTCCCGAGACCTAGCTGAAAGCTCTTCCAGGTCTACTCACAAAGTGTGGTCCAGCTTCTGCATTTCATGTCCCAGTTTGCCTGTGAGAGGAGGCACAGCCACAAGCAACGTGCCACCCTCATGTGCTCAGGGCTAGCCCGGTACTGTGGCTTTTCTCAGCACATGTGCTTTTTCCAAGCACACATGGTGGGATGGGGTGAGACACAGTGGGTTTTCCCAACTTTTTCTCCCAAGCAGCAAAGTCTCTAAAATAGCAAGATGCAAAGGTATAACTGAAGAGAGCAACGCCCTTCTTGTTTTGCTCTTTCACATTCTCCAGAAGCAGCTCACTGGGCTCCTGTCCTGATGCTTCCTCCCGACCATGGGGCACATGTCACAGGAGGGTGGTGCGGGTAGCAAAGATGGGAATGAGGAGGGCTGCATCTCTCAGCTCTGCCACCCCTCCATTTCACAACCTTGATTCCTCAAGAACTATGGGATTAGTGTAAGCTTCTGGCAACACTTTCTGCAAGTCAGACAGAAAAAATAATATGGTTAGGATCCTGGGTGGCCAGACTCAGGCTTCAGAGACATCAGCTGGCCAGAGCCTGCCTAATTTTTAACTCCCTGCTAGTGTGCAGAAATCCCCAAAGAAGAATCACCATCCTCAGAGAGTGCAACTGGTTCCCTCTTACTTTTCCAGACACTTTGACTGCCCAAACAAGGGTCACTGGGGCAGCAGAGCAGTGCAAGGGTCTCACTTCCATTAAGCTACTTGCTGCAGTCCTCAAAGCACTGCTAATACACTGTGGGGCTGATACCTTCAGTGGTACCAGCCTCACAGCCAGCTCATCAACAACACTTCACTGTGACACAAGCTCAGCCTCAAAGCAGTGAATTGTAGGGCCAATTCCCTGGGCAAGGGAAGGCACTGGGAACTCTATGCCATGAGGCAGCACAGTGTCTGTGCAAACACCAGAGAGAACCCACATCCTGTGCATCCTCAGGAGGCTCAGCACAACAAATAGCTTCTCTGTGTCCTTCCTCTGGCATGTGTGAGGCCTCAACTCCCAGACACATTGCTGGTTTGCTCATCCTCAAGTCTTTTTGTCCCCACTCACATTGCCCATTCAGGGCTGGCACCCTCGGTCCTGCTTCTTCCCTATCCCCAGCTTGGATTTATGGCTGGGATAATTCCACAGAGTTATGCCTTCTAAGTTCCTTACTCATATCTTAGAGAGCAAAGATACACAAGTTCTTTTTCTTCATAAATCCTGTAGAAGAACTAGCCTGATTACTCGAAACCTTAAGATGGAGGGAACTGTAGTTATTTCCCAGGGGAAAAGCAAGGAAAACAAAGACTGCTGCCCAATTCCCACCACTGTCACAATTCCAGTTCAGCCTTCCTGGCTGGAGCTTGATGAGCTCTTCTTCTGAGCCTTTCTGGGGTATGTTAGGATTAAACCTGAGACTTCTCCCAGGGGATTTCTGATACCTCTCCGAGTTCTGATTCTGCCCAGCTGCCACCAATTCAGAAGACGGCATGCAGACTTGTAAGGGTGAATGTGGAGCTTCCTGCAGCCTGGGCTCTGAATTTACTCACTGTGGGGTAAGACTGACATCTGAGGCAGAAGTCAGAGGCGCACGAGAAAGAGGATCACATCGCCAGTGCAGTTCAAGAGAAGTCCAGGCAGCATGGAAGCAAGAGATATGAAACAGTTTCATTTTGAGTATGCTCTTACACAAACTGCAGGTGAAAAGGGTTTATAGAGATCAGCAGCAATATCCCAAAGCAGAGGAGTGAGATCAGGAAAGCTTCAAAGACATGTCTGGAAGCAAAAGCTGGGAAGCAAAAGCCAGGAAGTGCAAAGAGGTAACTTCTACAAGCAGGAGGGGTAGGGGAATGCATGCTGTAATGCTACACTTAGGAATAAGGCGAAAACTGCATTTAGACTTGGGAAACTCCACTAGAATGCACTATGGAAGCACTTTAGCAACTCTGAACAGGCTCCCCAAGAACCTCTGGTGTCTGAGCACCACTGACCTGCTGTGGAGTTACAGAAGCAGAGTTTTAGGAGATCAGTCAGTCTGCAAGGCTCCATCACCTTAGGAAAGGAAGGCTGCTCTCATAGCTGGCAGTCACAGTAGTGGAAAAGGGCACAGAGATGGCCTGCCTATGGCTTTGGGACAGTTGGAGAAGGCTATTTGCCACACAGTAAACATGAAAGGGAGGAGGGAAGTTTGGAAAGCAGAGGATGGGTACATTGTTTGTGCCTGCTACACAAAATTCCAGCATTATTTTATTGGCAGTATTTCACTAGAGACTGAGCATGGTGCAGCTTCCGAGGGAAACCAGTAAGCTACTGAGGGTGGATGCTTGTCCTAATGACCTAAGCCAGCCTCTAAATCACACTGGCTTTGGAAGAAAAAGCAACATGCTTTTGGGTATTCCACTGCAATCCAACAGATGCATCTTTGCATCCAGGCAAACATACAACCAGCAAAAAAGGTATTTGGCACTGATTGAGTCCTGACTTATCCTCTGTTATCAAGAATATGTTTCTCACACACACAAAAATCAATTTATCTACTACTCTATTAGATGGGCAGACAGGAGTCTCAAGTGCCCTGAACACACATTAATCAAATTTGCAAGTTTCAAAGAGGCCTAGCAAAGCCCAGTCTGAACAAAAAGACAGTCCTGCCATTTTAGAATCCTGCACTCTAAATGATAGCTGCTTTCCTAAAAGCCCTCAAAACTTAAAAGTATTTCCAAACAAACATAGCCTAAGACTCTTCTTGAACAATTCAATCCTAAGTCAAAAGAAACCAAAAAGTATTTCCAAGCAAACATAGCCTGAGACTTGAATAATTCAATCCTAAATCAAAACAAACTGTAGCAGATCAGCAAAAGTGCTTTTTCAAAACGCAAAGAAACAATGACAGAAGGTTTGCATGGATGCTGGAAACCAGGAGAAAATGAGCCCAGGCAGTACACAGTATATTAATGAGTATAATGTGTGTGCTGAATCAACTGACACTACTACAAAACCTTAAGGCACAATGTTGGAATCGCTTCAGATGCACTTACAACAAAGGTAGAACACAGAGAGTCTCATTATCATGTAAAATAGGCACTTGATCCAAGTGTCCTGAGGTTGGAAAGCTAACCCAGATGGAGCTCTGGGAACTGAGGTAGACAAAAGTGAGAGGATTGTTGGGACCATACTACAGTTTTATTAATAGAGGACAAGGAGTACACAATGCCATTAGGCTAATTTAATCTACTAACTGCAACATCTGTTCAATTATAACCATTAGCAGATAAGGGCACTGATAGAAGACAAACTGCTACACAGCCAATGGTACAGTGCTTCAGTGGGAAGTGTGAGGACTGCACAACTCTACGGCTCTGCATGATCTGGAAGCTCACAACTGACTCTTAAATGTCACTCTTCTCCTTGCAACAACCACAGATTCACAGAATTGTTTAGGTTGGAAAAGACCTTAAGATGACCCAGTTCAACTATTAACCCAGCACTGCCAAATCCACCACTAAACCGTGCCCCCTAAGTGCCACATCTACATGTCTCATGAATACCCCCAGGGATGGTGACGCAACCTCTTCCCTGGGCAGCCTGTTCCAGTGCTTGACAACTTTTTCAGTGCAGAAATTTTTCCTAATATCCAATCTAAACTTCCCATGGAGCAAATTGATGTTTCCTCTTGTCCTGTCACCTGTTAGTTGGGAGAAGAGACCAACCCCCACCTTGCTACAACCTCCTTTCATGTAGTTGTAGAGTGCAAAAAGGTCTCCCTTGAGCCTCCTTTTCTCCAGGCTAAACACCCGCAGCTCCCTGAGCTGCTCCTCATAAGACTTGTACTCCTGACCCTTCACCAGCTTCATTGCCCTTCTCTGGACATGCTTCAGCACCTCAGTCTGTCTTGTCTGAACACAGTACAAGAGGTGCAGCTTCACTGAGTACAGGGGGATGATCCCTTCCCTAGTCCTGCTGGCCACACTATTTCTGACACAAGCCTGAATGCCACTGGCTTTCTTGGCCACCTGGGCACTCTGCTGGCTCATGTTCAGCAGCAGTCAACCAACAGCCCCAGGTCCTTTTCCAACAGGCAACTTTCCAGCCACTCTTCTCCAAGCCTGTAGCACTGCATAAGGTTGTGACCCAAGTGCAGGATTCTGCACTTTATCTTGTTGAATCTCATACAGTTGACCTCAGCACGTGGATCCAGCCTGTCCAGATCCCTACGCAGAGCCTTCCTACCTTCCAGAAGATCAACGCTCCTGCCCAGCTTGGTGTTGTCTGCAAACTGAGGGTGCGCTTGATCTCCTTGTCCAGTTCATTGATAAAGATATTAAAAAGGGCTGGTCCCAATACTGAGCCTTGGGGAACACCACTAGTGACTGGGTGCCAGCTGAATGCAACTCCATTCACCACCACTCTTTGGGCTCGGCCATCTGGTCACATTTCTACCCAGAAAACATTGTACCAACCCAAGCCATGAGCAGCTAGTTTCTCCAGGAAAATGCTGTGTCAAAGCCTTTACTAAATCCAGGTAGACTACATCCACAGCCTTTCCCTCATCCACTAAGTGGGTCGCCCTGTCATAGAAGGAGATCAGGTTAGTCAAGCAGGATCTGCTTTTCCTTGGGACTTGTCGGGACCTCATTGCTGCACAGCATTATTGAAAAATCAATAATGGATAATAATCTGAGGGTTGTACCAGGGGAGGAAGCTTTCTCTTCACATCTTTAACCTTGGCCCCAGGAAAGCAGCAGACTTTCCTAAGAAGTAGGTCCAGTCTGCATACTGGGCCTTCTGTTCTGTTCAGAAGGGAGTCTCCTATGAAGATGACCAGTCTTTATGGAAGCAGTTTTGACACAGGGCATCAATACCTGAGCCTAATACTTGAGCTTTGCTTGCAGTATCTGTTTTGCAGCTGAGATGTCAGTGGTAACACTGGTAACTGCACCAAGCTAAGTCTGCTGACAAAGGCGATGACATAAACTTCAGCCATCGAAAAAGTTCCAGTATACCCCAAGTGGGTTTGCCCAGCTCATGCAGCTACAGCTCCTCAACTACTTGGTCCCAAATCAATACCACACATGCACCCTGCTAAAACTGCCAGACTGCAGCATGGAGACAACTTCAGAAGCACTCAGCCTGGAGAAAAATCTTTCCCTGCCCATGGGACTCTTACACTTCCATCAAAGCATAGCAGCTTCATGGTCCCTGTAGCACATCCCTTAGTCTTAGCAGGATTAAGTCTGGATTTCCCAATGGATTCACTCTGTTTTTGCCTGTTAGTCCTGTTGGCTGTGGCACTAAGGGACACACACACTCTACAAACACCTTGAAAAGCAAAGGGTAGCAAGGTTAACTTGGCAGACCAGCCAGCCATGTGAAGCAGGGGACAGTGAGTAATAAAGCATACCACACCAAGCAAGAGCTGAGCAAATGACAAGTGCCACTGAGATTCACAGACCAGCAAGCACAGTGCTTTGAAATTTTCAGGAATTCTTATACCAAATGGCACGAACCCAATGACTCTCTTATTGCTAGATGTTTTTAAACTTCCTTCTTGAAGTTGGCCATGCACCTTGGCTGCGATCAAAGCCCACTCTCTACAGGGTTCCTTATATCACCTCCAGCCAAGAAACTGGACTGTAAAAGTAACGTCAAAGAAGAGTCTGCCAAAGTCTGCACCTCCTCTCCCCAAGAACTGACTGATAATTCAGTTCTCCATTTAACCCAGCACCAGGCTTTGCCTCGCTGCACCTATTTGAATCTCTATGACTCTATCTGACATGAGTCTGGTGGGATCTGCACTATGTCCTTGGATGCTGTCTTGTCTTTCCTCTCAGATGAGTACCTGAGAAGGCCAGAAAGATTCTTGATACTCTATGGCCATTGCTGTCACCCCAGAAGTGCCATTGGCTTGGTGCCTGTGCCACCCCGTGAGTGTTCAGAGAAGTAGATTAGTGCAATTTTCCTACCTTGGTGTATAAACTAGTGAGCAGGAGTGGGAATTGATGGGTTACAGTTACAAGCTACAGTCCCATAATCCATGATCTGATTGCTGCCTTGGAGTCTCTGTAACAACAGTCACAAGTCACCATCCCTGAAAATATGGAGGCAAGTAGGGAAGGAAATGAAAGTGGGGCAAAATAAGAAAGAGAAACAGGCAAAGGAAAAAACCAGTAAAATCACCCAAGCATGTGTAAGGCAGCTGTGCCACATAGAAAAGCTCCAATACCTTACTCCATCAGAACTCTCCACAAAAGCAGCACACAATGCCAAAGCCCAGCTGGCTGATCCCTGGCTGAGCCATCCATTTAAGTGCCAAACACCAGATTCAGCCTACCTTCAGTTGGTTGAGCACTTGTGGTTGGTTGTTAAGCTTGAGAAGTAGCCAGGTGAGCTCAGCCATGTGGAGGCCACATTTGAGACTGTGGAGGGTGTCCATCATGACTTCCTCAAAGCATGACTCTCAGGGGAAGGAGTCTTGACTGACTGAGACCTGTTACCTCACACACATCCCTCTGGTTCTTTCTACTCTCAGTTCTGGAGGCTTTTAGGATTATAAAAATGACACCTGTGCCACCTTTGCTCTGGTTTCAGTGCTCTCCCCCCTCCAGCAGCAAGCTCTTACAATAGTATTTAGACTGAAAAGATTTATACTAAAAATGGCTTAAGCAAAAATGTACAATTTGTCTGGTGAGAGAAATGTCTGACAAACAGAAAGGACCTTAGTACTAGTAGGCATCACCTTCACTGCCAAATGACCTTGGGTCCATTCCTGGGCCTTCCACATACATGTTATGAATTAATTCACCATGCCACCAGCACCTCTCATTACAGCCCTGCTGCCCTAGGGCTTGCAGAGGATGGTTTGGCCTTACAATTCATCTTCTGCCTTTGACTTCAGAACAGTTAATGGAAGGATACAAGCAATTGGGTGTGTATCAAAACAGACTGGTCTTTACTCCAGCTCAACTTAGCTAAGTGTGTTCCAGTTAGCTGCATTCACACCAGGATTCTGGGAGAGCAGTTGTCTTCTAGCTTGGTCCTGTAGACCATGATGCTCACCACTGCTAAAATCAACCAAAGTTGTAAGCCTCAGAGCAGAAAAAGAAGAAGAAATAATGTTTTACTTATTGCAATGGGGGGGAGGGGACTCCTATATCCAAATTGGATAAGTTGTACAGCCTTTTTTCATCCAACTAGTCTAGAATTATAGGTACAAGAACTACTCAAGGTAGCATGAACTCCCTTACCCTACTGTACCAGGGTGAATTTATGCTGATACTTTTGGTCTGTGTTTGGCCCAGCCACCTGTGACAGTCTATTCTTTTCCTGCCAAGTTATGGGAAAACAAGCACTGATAAACGGGAAAGTTGTCCTTGAAGAGAGCTTCTTGTATAAACTGTTTTAATTGGCGTTCTGTGATCGGCTAGTTGTCCTCCAAGGGCACTTGGAGGAGAAAGTGGGGAAGAAGATGAGGAAGGCTCGCCCCCAGACTCAATTAAGAAAGACCCCCAAAACATACTGCGCGTGCGTCAGGGGATTTCCGAAGTTCTCACGCGTGCGCAGAAGAGATGCACTTACATACCCGGGAGGTGGTGGGACTGAGGGCCTCTGGCTGGGCGGTGCTGGCCACACCTGGGAGGTTGTGGCCACTCAATTAACTGTATAAAAAGCAGATGGCGCTTTCTTGATGGGAGCTAACTTCACACCAAGGACAACGTTGCCTTTTGGCGGGGACGCCTGCCAGTTTTGTGAACTTACTGACTCTCCAAGGATGCAGCTTCTGCTATGGGTAATTATAGGCATGCTAGGTCGGTAAGATAACTTTATAGGCAACAGCTGGGTAACTGAGAAAGTCGTGCTGGGGGCTTATTTCTCTCCTCCTTCCTCCCTTTTGGCTTTGTTCGTTTTGTTGGCCACCTCTTGATAATAAATATTTGCTTTATTGAGTTCTTACGGTGTCTGTTTTTTCACATGTCTATATATCTCGGGTCCTCCCCAATACACCTTACCCTCTGCATTTGTGCTCAGATAGTTCAGTAAAAATAAAAACAAAATAAAAATCAAAAAGCATGTATTTTGTAATTGAAAATCCACCTTCCTGAGCAGCTGGTCAGAGAAGACCTGCTTCTTGGACCTTCTGGTCTTTCTCCAGACTGGACTGGTTAGATTCTCTGGACGAGGGCAGCACTGTCTTCTGAATAGAGCTGACTCCAGCTGGCAGAGAACTGAGATTTACACACTTTGCTAGTCATGGTCACTGATGGCTTCCTGAACATTGAGTGGATATCTCTGATAACGTCGTAGAAGAGGAGCCCGGAGGATTAAGGAAAATAGCCTCTAACAACCAGTCTCCTCCCTTTCCCTGCAGAAAGAGCTTCTAAAAGTATGTGTGCAATTAGTTCACTAGAGGCCCCCTCCCACATGCAAACAGCTGCATTTATTGCACAGCATGTCACAGGGACATCATACCCCGAGTTCTGGTGAGCAGATATGAACTAGTAGCCTTGTCCTCAGCACTCTGCAAAGTGTAAGGAGCCAGGCTGCTCAAGCCCTCATTTGGGCTTTGTAACCCAGCTTCCTCCAGTCACATATACTGAACCCCACTTGGCAGCTGATGGCAGAATAAGAAGAATAACCCTAGGGGCCTAGAATAATAGTTAATCAGCTCTAAAAAAGGGCAAAGCACTGAAGGGCTCAACACATTTTCAGGGGAGAGAAGTGAGTACAGCACTGCCCTACATCTGGTTCCAGCCAATACAAAAATGTGTGAAGCCCTGCAGACTCCCAGAGGACCAGAGCCTATAGATTCTGCGTGACATTAACAGTGAGCAAACACAGGCCTCAGCAGCTGGATGTGCTGGGATTACATCCACCCGTCTGAAAATGCCAACAAGGAGCTTCCCCACAAGCCAGACCCTTTGCTAGAAAGGAGAGAGGTTGCGTGTTGTCCTGAGCTAGTAACAGGGACACAGCAGGGGTTGAAGGGAGGTTTACTCACTGTGTGTTCATTTTCCAAATTGGCCTGTTGTCTTCGAAGATCAGCCTTAATGAATGCTGGAACAGAGGGAGGAAGAGAGATGTGAAGGCAGTTAAGTCACCATGCAGAGACCAAAGCAATTTCCCCAGGATTCAAAGGAGTAGCAGAAGCCTCTTCTGTTATGTTATGGTGAGCAAGGGAAACCATTCTCCTGGATGAGGCTGAGAGCACTTCTGAAACAAGCAGGATACAGATTCCTTATTGCAGCATGCAGGAGGTGCAACCTTGAAACCCAACCAGCAGCCAGAGCAAGAAGCCTTGGATCTTTTTAACACAGATCAGATGCTTAAAGAAGAACAACAGCATTGCTACAGGACTGCTGTGTGGGTTCTGGCCTTTCCTGAAGACACCACAGCACACAAAAGCCCTTCAACCATATGCCAAGCTCAAGGGTAAAAGTCAGAGCAGAAGAACACTGAAAATTTTAATTACCTGTCATAACGGTCCCCAGGAACAGGAAGGAACAAAGAAAGAGGTTTCCTGCCTTCGTTCCAAAGCGATCCATGATTTGCCCTTGGCCAATGGTGAAAGCAATACCAAAAATCTACAAACAAACAAAGCCAGTGTCCAGCTGTACTCCTATTATAAAGCAGCCCAAACAGCTTCCCAGCTTTACCAAAGTATCAGAGCATACAGGCCAGTCAAACAGTTGCCCTAGTGAGGCTAAAGTTTGGTTATAAACACATCCAGAGGCACCTCCTTGCCACTGATGGGATGACAAATGACCTTTAAGGCTGGAATCCCATCTCTCACTGGAGAAGAGCCAGGTCCTAGGCTGTTAGGAGCAATGTTGGAAAAGGCAAGGGCGACTGGCATCCTGATGGATTTTCTTAAACAGAAACAGAATGTTTCTGTTTGTCACTAGAGAAATGCTATGGGGAACATAAATCAAAAAGCCAGGTCTCAGGGTGCTTAGATCTACAGTACATTACACTAATAATGGACAAGAAATAGAAGTCAAGGCTTGGAACTACAATTTAATCTCTGCCTAAAAAGAGGCAAGCAAAGGGAAAACAGCGCACTTACCTGTGCTGAGACATTAAGGAGCCCTGATGATGTTCCTTCTGATTCTGGGTATGTCAACTCTGCAGCAAACTCAAAGCCCAGGGGAAGGTATCCTGTCATGAAAAAACTGTAAAGAAGCACACAGAAAGGAAGACTCAGCAACTGTCAGAAGGAAGACTGAAGAGGCAGACTATGGCCCATAGCTCTAAGGGGCATCACCCCCAGCACGGTCAAACAGCCACTTAGGCAGACATGCTTTTCGTTCTTGTCCATTGGTCATCTATTGGGCTGCAGTATCCCTGGCTTTCCAAATGTTTCCACTTGATTGCCTGGAACAATTAAGGCAGATGCAGCTGAGCAGGGTCACAATAACGTCCCTGACTCTAATGAAACACATACCATACAAGTGAGAGATGGGAAGAGCAGATAATTTTTTCCTTAAACCATGCAGGAGCCATGCCCATGCTATGTCTCTCCCCAGTCCCTCCCACACCATCAGCTTGGCCTCCCTGCTCATCCCCTAGCGTGTCGAGGAAAGCAACCTGCACATGAACTTACCCCAGCGTGCCAGCAGTCACAAAGACCACCCAGAGATGGCCTAGGCTCAGAGTGAAGGTGTAGATTATCATTCCCACTAGAGACATGATATAGACGACTAGTGTTGTCTGTCTGCAAGAAAAAGCAGTCAGGTTTTCATTTAATCCAGTCCTCCTTTTTGCCCACAGATCTTGGTATAGCTTGTAGCACATGGTTAAAAAAGAAATTTTAAAAAGTTGTACAGCTCTCTCGCCATTCCTACCAGACAGAGGAACTGGACTGACAGAGAGCATGAAAGGACCTGTGCACACAGCAGGGCAGTAGAAGGAAAATCCTACCATGGGCTGACAGGTGCCTTGTCATGTCCTGTACATGCCACTTGACGGGGAGAACAAAAGCCAAATAAAACAATCACTAATCTTTCTTGGGCACCATTTGTACTACAACCAGTTGAACACACAGGAGCCAAGGAGATGGAGCCCTCTCAAGCAGGAAAAGCAAAAGAGATGTCAACACTACTGCAGTCTTATGGCCATATATTTTTCAGTGCTGTCCAAAACAGCTTAATTGCTGCTCCCTTCTGTTGTTTAAACTGCCTGCTGTATTTGGAGAGGTGATGTGCAAGCTGGGTTGCCCTCACAGCCTCATCCTCAAGCCACGGGACAGTGCTAGTTCCACAGCCAATCGCAGCTGAGCCACAAGCTCTTGTCTCTGTGCAGAGGAGACAAAGAGACCTTGTGCTCAGGAAGCATGCCAGGCAGATCCTGGGAACAGCCAAACCTGCAGCCAGGCCACGTGAGGATCATCAGTGGACTCAGTACTGTGAGACACATGCAGCAGTCCAGGCCAGCTTTAAAAAATTCAAAACGTTTAGCAATTGTCATCCCTGACTAAACACCAAGAAAAGCCTTCCCACATCAAAAAGACTAAGGCTCTGTTTAGTACAAGAGGCAGCTAGTAACTTTTCATAGTACATAGTTTTTAGGAGGGAAAGGAGTATCCTTTACCTGACTCAAATTCCACCAGGATTTTGATAGTCGAACAGATATCAGAGTTAATAGAACCTTTTTACCACTGTCTTTTAGGAAGAAGTTAAAGGTATAACCATGAGCTGCTTGTTTACTTTCAACCAAATTTTAGTCTTAATCCATCAAAGAATGTGTTTGATACCAGTTCCTAGAATTCTACTGAAGAAACTAAAACTCAAACTATTTTCACTTTTCCTTTTTAATGCAAATGATCACTGCCAAAACTCCAACCCCAAGTGGGCAGCCAGTATTATAATGGGTAATAAAATGTTTCCAGTACACTGAATTACTACAGATAAATCCAGACTGTTCTAGCTAAGGTTCTGTCCTCCCTCACTGCTGCAATGACTGCAGTCAGTGGGGTCATACTCATATGTCAATTCTTATCCAAATACAGGCCTTAGAAGCTAATTTCAGGCTTCAGCTATTGATCCATACTTACAAAGGTTCACCAGACACATTTAATGTATTGAAAGGCTAAACATTTTGCTGTGACAAGTAATGTTGTTGTGTATCAAAGGAGTAGTTAAATCCCTTAACCTCCAGAATACATTCTTTCCAATGTTTTCAGAGGAAAAAAGTCATCTGTGAAGGTGGAATAAAGGGATGGCTTACTTCTGTTATAATTCACTGCAGAGAGCTGCTACATGGCTGGCACACAGCCTGGAGGCTGTAGAAGAAGAGCTAAAAGATTGACTGAGCAATCAGAGAGCAGCCCCAGAAAGTCCAAGAGATATGAGTAAAAGCCTTTTTCTGCTCAATACAGGTTCCTCAGGTATCTCCCGTGAGTTCTTATGTCTCCCAAGCCTTAACAAGCAGCCATGGAGAAAAGAGATGATTAGGAAAAGACCTCAAAGCTAGAATTAGAGCTCTGTGCTTGGGCTACACAGACCAAGCTTGAACTGGGTGCTCCTTCCATAAACAGGAGTCTCCAAACTACACAGCAGTAGTAAAATACACAGCAGTGCTAAAATACAGTGCAGGCCTCCAAGAGGTGGCTGTGGCCCTAAGAAGTTTAGTTGCTGCCAGCAGCGACACTCAGCTGGGGTTTTGTTTTGTTTTTTTTTTCTCCCCACAGCCCGTTTTTGGCTCAGTGCACAGGTCTTAGGATAGTCACACAACATCTCACTCAGTTTCCCACGCTTATGATTCAAGTATTCCATGTGATTTGTATCTGATTCTGTGTCATGACAGTTGCCAAGAGTTGCACTTTGCCGCTCATCTCCAAGCAAAGGTGATGAACAAGATAGTGACCGGATGTGGTTGGGACTTTGTTTCACATTAGTGCTATGTCATTAGTCAAGGTGCAAGAAAGAAGTTCCCAGAACATACAGTGCTCCACTGAGAACTAAAACAGGCAGGCTCACAGAAGCAGACAGCTCTTGAAGGTGTTCTCCACTGAAACTGCAGAAGTAAACGGGGGGCACAACACAGCAAACTGATCTTGCCATGGGTACCTCATCTAGCGCACATTAGCTGGATCTAGGGGACTAGAGTTTTCCTCACTGACCTCCCTGAATCATTAGGCTGCAGAAGGATAAAATGTATCAACAGACCCTTGTGAAAAAACAAGACCACAGGCTTGAGTGCTGTGGGAATCACAGACCGGGAAGTGCCCTGAGGCCACTCGCCTGAGCGCTGCCTGCTCAGGACAGCCGCCCACAGGAGCTGAACAGACAGCCCTGGATGCAAGTCCTGCTGCAGAAAACAGCCTTAAGCACACAAGCAGACTTCTGCTGGACCAGACTTTAGCAAGACCTTGCTCCCCCGAGCATACCACTGATGACAAAAAAGGAGATTTTTAGTACTCAACAGTCCAAGCAAGACCCAAAAATTTTAAGAGGGTTTAACTGAAATACTGGCAGACACTGGTGAAGAGGGAAACAAAGAAACCACCGGGGAAAGACAGCGAGGCAGGGTGTTTCTCAGGAAGTGGCCTTTGTCACTAGAAGACAAGAATGCTCTGTGACTCTGGGGGCACTAGGAGATGGGAAGAATGCCAGTTTAGCTTAATAAGCCTCTTATCATAGCCATAAATCTTATGGGAGAGAGAAAAGCACAAAGGAGAAGCAGATTCACAGAGGACATTGGCACTGCATTCTGGTGTTTTTAGCAACCTGTTCTCATGATGGCTTCATAGAGACTCATTATTATTGTCTGGAAAACTCACAGCCTACTTACCAGGCTGCCTAGTGCAGTGTGTACAAGTTAGGAAGTTAGGCATCCTGCTACATCACCTTAGGAAAGCTGGGGTTAATCCAGCTCTGTGCTCTGGGGTTTGGGAATGAAGCCCCGCGCACCCATGCGGAAGCATTGCTCCAAAGGCACTGGTGCCAAGTCTCTGTGGCAGTCAGAGGAAGATCTGTGAAGGAGCCAACATGCTTGTCACTTAGATGAACCTAACCTGCCCTGACACTCATCTGCCCTCCCAGTCACATTCCCTACCCTTCTGAAGAGGCAAATTAAAGAGCTCACGCAAGGGATTGTGAGAAAAGAGAGACCTTGGGGGAAAAAAGCCAGACAGGGCCAGCATGAGCAGGGAACAGGACTGCAATGAAGAACAACTCCTGCTGTTCAGTCAACTCCAGAGGAAGCCTCAGAATATGCAATGGGCATGGCCCAGCCCAGCCTTGTCTCAGAGGGTCACTTGGATGAGGAAAGCCAAAGTGACAGGACCAGACTCACAGGGGACTGACTGCAGCTGCAAAAACACAAGTCAAGCAACGTCTGAAGCAACAAATGAACAAGCTCAGGGAGGGAGGGGGTAGAGGTCACAGCCACGTGCAACAGTTTTAGCTGCTCACTGGGATGTTGTGTGCAGCTCCAGAATGCTCTGCTGTACAGACTGGGATGACAGATGGCCTCCACAGGCTTTGCCATGAGGACAGCACATTCCAGGCTGCGCAAGACCCTGAACAAAGGCCTTGTCCCTGTGCTTCCAGAAGAATCTCATTGCTGAAGACACTGAGGTGTCAAATGCCGGAGAAGAGACAAATTGGAGAAGGCTGGTTTCGTTTTCACCACCCCCTCATTCTTTAGCACTTGGTTTTATGCCACTTTCTTCCTGTATAAAGGTCACAAAAATGGACAGCATTGGTAAATTGTTTATATAAAACACATGGCAGGACAGGGCGAAGACATAAGCACTACATAAGGACTAACCTGGGAAAGGGCTACAACAAGAAGGCTCAAATTGCTGGTCAGGTTGGGCTGAGAGAGATCATTCACCTTTCAGTGGAAGAGATCCAAGTGCCCCATTCTCCATTATGTAAGTCTTTCCTCCCTCCCCCACATTTTAATGCACTTTGGACCTGTACAGATCTAAGTTTAAAACACCACTTGGGGTCCTCTGCCTCGTCAATGGAGAGATGGATATTTCTGACGTCTTGCCTTATAGAGATGCAGCAATGAAAGCGGAGAGTGCTGACTGCAACCAGCTGGATGTGAGGCCATGGGAACACTGCACTTAAAACCAAAGCATGGCCAAAGAGAAGTGATGATTAATTCAGTCCCCAAATACTTCATTTCAAGTCAGACTCCCCTACAAATAGCAATACACCCAGCAGTCCCCAGGTGTCACAACGCCATCCCTCCTCTGAGCCAGGAACCTGAAGGATGCACATGGAGCCTCATTTAACTTTATGTCAAAACTTTAAAAATCTTTTCCTAAATTATTCAATGATTCTAAAACGTGTTCTTTTGAAGAGGTGGGCTGCTCTTAACAAGCCATAACACCAGAAACAACCCTAGTTCTGGCACTGCTCACTCATCACTACGTAACTAACGTATTTATTTTTATTGACCAAATTTGTGCCTGCTAATTCCAAAAGCAAGAATGGTGCAGGGGCTGCTGCAGGGATTTGCCTGCCAAATAAGAGCAAGAATGAAAGGCCATTTGGTGCTCAAGCATGACAGATGGGGAAAGCCTGACTTAGCACAGCTTCGCCCTTTCAAGGAACTGCTGATGGTACAGTAAAGATCAAACACACATGTAGAGCTCTGCAATTCCTTTTGTTATTAACCTTCCCCTGCTCCCCTCAATCACAGCTGGATCCCATTCATTTGCTTCCCTCTCTCTCCAAGCTGACTAAAAAAAGGACTTGATATCTCTTTTTCCTGATTTTCATGTGCTTACCACTTCATTCTTGACACTATCTCAGAAACGGAGGGAAGGGGGAGGGTACCTACCTAGAACATCTGGCATCTTGACAGTTTTTTTAAATAGACTTTTAAATGGGGCTAAATAAAGACTCTATGTAGCACTCCGAAAAAAAATTTGCTAGTTTCACAGAATTCCATTTTGTGGGCTGCAGTGGAGAACAAATTCTTAGTAGTGCTTTTCCTCACCTAAGGCTAAATCTATCCCCAGATAGTCCCTGGGGTCTGTAGGATAAATTCCATGGGTGGCATAGTCCTATTTTTCTGCACTGTCAGCCAGCTCTGCCTACTTACGTGGTCCCTCCATGGAAGCAGGGGACATGGAACAAATACAGGATTTGTGGATTTTTCCCCTCACCCATTCTGCCAAATTTCAAGTCCCAGCTCTGCCTGGTGAGTGACAAAGCTCTTCAGGCTTCTGTGACGCAACCTACCCTCACTTACGGAGAATCAGGAAGATCATCCAGTCCCAGCTGAGGCTACCTTACCACTAGCCCTGGGCTGGAAAGAGACACAAGTTACGTTGAATGGTTAGCTAGTGCAGTTCTAATAGTTCCAACAGTTGTGTTTCTATGTCTCAGGACTGACAAATGAGAACTCAGTGCCACACAACCATCTAGAAACAGCAACAATCAACCTGCCGGTCTTCGTATTAGTCATCTAGTCCTCTTTCCTATGACCCAGGAGTTCTCACCAACCATTCTTTCTTATTAGAGAAGCCAATTTTCTATCTATTTTTGATCCCTGTAGTTTACAGCTAGGGCCAGAAGCCACTTCAGAAGTTGCAAACCCACAGCTAGCCAGATTAATCTAAGCTGTCTACAATGAGAATGTGCTTTTCTGAACCAAGACACCAGGTAGGATAATGGCAGTAGGACTCACCCAGATGAAAAGCTGCTGCAAAGAAAAGAACTCCAAAACTGCCTTCAACTGCCTTCACCAGCACATCACCAGTAAAGCCCCGTCTCACCAACCTGCTCAGACAACAGGTTATAGCACAGTTCTCAAAGACAGCAGAGAAACCAAAAAGCTGATTACATGGACCCCAATGTAAGACACGAGAGGCTCTCTACATTCCATGGGGTATCCTACAGAGGTCTGCCAATGAGATCTGAGTGCCTGAGGACTGGGAGCTGCAGGACAAGCAAAGACTTAACCGTCTCTTTGCATATGGCAGGGTATGCTGGCCAGACCTGCCTTCCCAACCCGCCAGGCAGCAAACTCAGAATAATCCACCAGCAACCCCAATAACCCTTATGCCTGCCCTAAATACAGCAACGCACCCTCACACAATGCCTCTGGGCACTGGATTCAATGTGCCTTTTATTAAGCTGGACAAAGATTCACAGAAGCTGGTTTGTAAGGGCTGAGAAATGGTCCGGTACTGTCTTGATTTTACTTGCGTCAAGAACTCTCTCATCCCTAACAAAGCAGCTGCTGGGCCACCTCACCCTCTCCCTATGTTTCCCTAAGGTCACTGTATGGGCCCAGTACAGACTAACACACAGCTCCAAACTTCACTTTAGACTAACTGGATTTTGAAGAACCATATTTTTCCCTACAAATCCTCCCAAATATTGTGCCCCCAGACTCACACAGTATGGGGGAAGAGCACAGTCACCAGGGACACAGAGGCAAACAAGGGACTTACTTGTAGGTTTTGGTTCTGTCCAACCAGATGCCGGAGATCAGAGCCCCAACTGTCCCCGACACTATAATGGTGAGTCCAATCCTGCCAGCATTCACCTCCTCCCCCTGTGATGAGACACACACACACTCACACAAATGCAGGAGCTAAGTCATAGCCAACAAAAAGCAAAATGCAGAAAACCCAGAGAAGAAGAGACATCAAAGTTAGCTCCCTACATGTTTTCTGCTGGTAACACAATAACCAGAAGTACCCTTTGCAAGAACACTTTTGGGCCCACTATGAGCCAGTGTATTCTAGTCCAGTAAGAAAAGTGGTTTGGCACTTCTCTCTGAGCCAGCCCAGAGAAAAAGGTGTGCACTGGCCAGCATGAACAGATACTTTTAGAGGAGTCAGCATAAACCCTATGAAGCTTGCTCTCTGGAGTTAGGATTTGGGCCAGATTGACTAGGAAATATTAGGACCTACTATAAGGCAGCACAGAAAGGAGCTCTCTGGCATACAGCACCAGCAGTAAGCTCTACAGTAGCTCAGGTACTGAAGCACTCCACTCTTCTGCCACCAGAGCACCAGTGTGGGCAGCCTCCTGGAACAGATGTCTTAGCAGAAATCATAATCAGGAACAAGGGGAGTCAGTTGCTGGAAGATTTTCTCAGAAGTAAACACTTTCATTCAGGGTGCAAAGGAGCTGTCTTTGCTAGAGCTCACTAGCTTTTGCATGGGGTGGTGTAAAAGAGAAAAAGGAACCAATGCTCTCTTTCCAGCCAGCCAACGTGTGCCAGAGCCAGCCAGAAGTGCTGTGACATCGCATTTCTCACAGACTCTCCTTTGGCAGCCAGTGCTAGACAACAGCAAACATCAGAGGACCACGAGGGTTGGATACACTTACTGGGTAGTGGTGGATCACCATGCGGTTCAGCAGAGTGGACAGGGCGTAGAAACAACCTGCATTCAGACCTAAGAGGGGGATAAAAATGCAGCACATTCAGAGCCTGCTACTCTCCTGCTGGGTTGTGGAAGGGTAGAAAAGCAGAGAGAGGAATCTTTGGGAGCATCAATCTAGTACAAGGCTGCAGAGTCTCAGGAGACTCAGCCAGAGTGGCTAGACATTAGAATACTGAAAGAAATGCAGACATTCAGGCCTCAGCATGCAGGAGGAAGCACCGTGCAGTTTCAGGATGGTTCTTACCTTAGCAGCTAGAGGAAGGGCTGTGCACATTTCTGGTACTGAAAGGTCTTGCAAGTCCCTCATGGGGTCTCAACCCTTCCTCACATCCAGATCCATCTTTAGCACTGGAGTTTTCTCCTTCCCCCCCCAGCCAAATCAGAATACTAGAAAAGCACCTGCCTCAGCATCACACCTTTAACAAGGACCCGGGATTCAATTAACAACAGTGTCATTGACCTGAGCATTTTCCTTCCAGAGAAGAGCCTGATAGCATTCTCCCTGCTGACAGCCAGTAAAAAAATATTCTCTCCAAGCCAAGAAACAGCAGAAGGCAAGCAGAAGCAGAGCCGATAGTGAAGCACAGACAGCACTACCCCCAGGCACCTGCTATGTGTGTGTCTGCATGGGAAAATCTTGCATTTTAAAAGATATCACTGAGGCCTGAAAAAAACCCAACCATGAAAGTAATTGTATTTCTGAAAGGGAAGTTAGATTAACTGTTACACGCATCGGCCAGCTGGTGAAGGTTTCTCAGTATCACCCAAGGTGAGAATGAAACTGTTGGGGTGATACTGGTCAAGCCCCATTGAGACACACTGCTTCAGCTTACATGCAACTCTCTTTGGTTAAATGCCTTCTCAAAAGGGCACAAAATCCAAGCGCTTTGCTAAGAGTAGGCAAGAACATACGCACGTGCACTGAATCAGCAGTACTGCAGTGGCTACACTCTCACCTTGGGTGATACTGAGAAACCTTCACCAGGTGGATGAGGTCTGTAACAGTCAGCACAACTTTCTTCTCAGAAAGTCATTTACACTTGCAGTTAGTTTCTCTTCAAGGCTTCAGTGATCCTGAAGTAGGGGGGTGGGATGGGGGACACAGATTTCACCACTGCAGCTCACACATCTACGGGCTCCATAAGGAGGCACGGTTTTAAAAAGTCTGGGACAGATGCCTGAAATCCTCACAGAACAGATATGTGTCAAGTTCCCACTTCCTACTTTTCCTCTTTCAGCCTCAGCTAAAAGCAGAAACTCACAATACATGACACAGAAGTGCAGTCTAGCAGGCAGAGCATTAACACAGGGAACAAACCCCTGAGCTCCCCTAACTCTGAAGTCCTCTAGCTCCCCTGATCCTTAATTACTCAGCAATTCTGCACCTAGCCCAGTCTTCCACTAAACACTGAATACCCGTTGCACTGCACAGCTCATGGAGTACTATGAGGAGCCACAAGATTGGCAGCTGGGATTGGCAGCTGAAGGGGACATCACACTTCCTTTACACACCATTATAATTTATTGTGAGGGTGGTGAGGGACTGGAACAGATTGCCCAAAGAAGTTGTGGATGCCCCATCCCTGGAAGTGTTCAAGGCCACACTAGACGGGGCTCTGAGCAATCCAGTGTAGTGGAAGGTGTCCCTGCTCACGGCATGGGAGTTAGAACTAGATGATCGTTAAGGTCCCTTCCAACTCAAACCACCCTATGATTAAGCAAAGGTCACTCCCCAGTTTTATGGCACACAGAACAGATGAAAACTCTCATTCAAGTGATCCTAAATAAGCCAAGTGCCTGTGACAATGCTTCCTGCTCCAAAACCACGTGTCAGAAGGTTACAGGAGAGGCTAGTAAGTTGAGTGACATGCTCTTAAGGCAGGAGGAATCTAGCCAATGCTTTCCAAGAGTTACTTGAGAAGGTCGGAAACGCCAGCAGAGCCAGCAGAGATGGGGGAGAACAGTTGGAGATCTCACAGCAAGGAGGCGCCCTCTAGCCTTGAAAGCTGTCTCTTTGCAACACTTTGCCGTAGCAAAACAGTTCTAGAGACCGTAATTCAGCTTCATCCTATCTCCACCTCTGGATCACCCCACTCATTAGGAGACATCACAAACTGCACTGCCAGGACATGGGAGTATGGCAGATCAGCACAGTCCCTTCGCTACTTCACTTCAAAGCTGGGCGTGAACATAGACCAGTCATTTGTGCACCTCTACTTCTCACCCAGCCAAGAGGACAGCAGCCTTGTGAAAATAGACAGATGCTGCTCTGGTAGTTGATGCTGTCAGTACAAAAGCTTCACAGCAGCTCTGTGATGCATATGATTTCCAAGACTGAGAAGGGCCCCTACTTCCAAGCTGGGCAGAAAGTAATGCAGAGTTGGCAGCAACACTTGGCACCACAGTCAGGCAAAATATTCTAAGAATCAAGACAGTGTGCCAAATTTGCATATGCGAGGGTTGGCAAAAGCTGTAGGCACTTTATATGTCACAGCTGCTCCGTGAAGTTTCACCGAGAATTACAGCTGTTTGAACGCCCATAAAACAGGCAACGGTTGTTTCCAACAGGGCAGTGGCCATTTGCCCACGCAGATGAGGAAAATCAGAACTAGTAGCTGGGAGCAGGACATCTGAAGGTCCACCCCCACCTGATTCATTAGCTAGTTACCATGGTTTGCTTGTAATGTGCTGTAGAATAGCATTTTTGAGACCTCACAGTGTCTCCTCTATTTTATAGAGGCCAGAATGGGGAACTTTATTGCCTATGGCTCCAAAAGGAGCCCTTATTAAGCCTCAGACTAGAACCCAGGTCTTCCGTAGGTAAGCAGCCTATTGCTTACATGCCAGACTCCCGGTTTTCTTGTCTTCACCCATGTAAGCCTGCAGGACAATGGTTCCTTATGCAGATCTTGCTGCCCTGCCTCCTCCTCGCTGCCCCATCACCCTTCCAAACCTTGATGCTTTGAGACTGTCTCACCACTCCCACTTTACCAGCCTTTCCCACCCTTTCCTGCCTACTGCCTCCCAGTAGCAACATGCTCTCAAATGCAGAGCCCAACTCAACAAACTCGGACATTTCTTAATGTCCATTCCATGTTATGCCTCAGCTTCATGGAAGCAATGTCAGCAGCCTTAGGAAAAGGCTATCTGAGGGCTTTCCTCAAAAACAGTTCACTAGTACTGACACAGAGGCAGTGGCACCAATGTTTCCAGCACTGCAAGTCTTACCACAGGAAAGGAAATGACAGCTGCTAGTAATATCAAGACCTTAGAGGTCTGCAGACCTGTTCTGACCTGGCATCATGGAAGGGTCCCCATTCTTTCTACAGCCAGGGGAGATGAAAAAGCAGCAGGTATCCCCCTCCCTCCCCTGGCATATGCTGTGTTAACACAGAAGCTGAAAGGCTGCAGGTATCTTTGTGTTAGCTAGGCAGGATGATTCAGTTGCACTCATGTGGCTGCAGATGTCTTAAATCTTGGCCAACATAATTTTTGACTTAAGTAGGAAAAACTGTCCCCATTTTAAAGCCAGAGAAGTTTAAAAAAAAGTTTCACTGCATAGTTCCCTCTCTGAGCAACAGTCACCATCTCAAGTCAAGCTGTAGATTGACATGACGCTGACACAAAGAGGAACAGAATAAATGCACAGACCAGCAGGAAGAAAAAATAAATTATGAGCCACTGAAACAGCTTTTCCACATTGTTTGTGACTGCCGGAAGGGAATTATCCAGGACGATCAGATTCTAAACATGCTCTTCTGTACTGAGACCCCTCCTCTCTCCTCTAGGACTCGTTGCCTATCAAAATAAATGCTTTCACCTTCCCTTTCCCTGAAGCATAACTGTGTACTGTGCAGATGGCACAATCCAACTTCAGACACAGTCTGCCTGACAATTTTTTCTGTCTTCACTTTCTGAGAGGGCATTGTGTGCTATGGGGGGGGAAAAAAAAGCCAAAACAAGCAGCTGCAATGCAAACCAGTGGAGTTTAAGAGCAATCTGAGAGGGGCATTTCTAGAAGTCTATTGCACTGAGAAGGAAAGAAGCATAGAATTCAACAACCCCAAAGACCATTAGCACCCTCAGAAGGTACAAAGCCACTATCTCATTCTCTCCAACCTGGTTACTCATCCGCCAGGTCCTTCAGATACAATTGCTGGCATAATGGTAGAACTTTCAGCAATATTTAACTTTCTACCTGAGGAGCTTCCATAGCAAGACAGTAGGAAGAGTAAGGACACAGCTCCCTGCAGACTAGCTGGCTACAGTATAACTTATTATGCAGCCAGGCAGAGACTACAATGGCCTTTCTGTTAAAGAGAAAAACACTGTTCCATATGCCAATTCAGCATCAGGGAATAGATTCAACACAGTACATTGCCCTCAGAGAAACAGACTGAGACTGCTAAAGAGAAGCAAGCAGCAAATTCAGAGTGCCAGGACAGATGGCATAAGAAGATGTTCTCCAGCCTTTCCTTCTATTTGTTTCATAGGGACTGCCTAGGAAGCTGACGAAGTCTGCACATCTGCATAGTCCACATGACCTCTACTGGGATGCCCAGCAGTCATACCCTTGCCTTGGGAAATGACTTTCACTCAGTGCTGTGACGTGCACTTAGACACTCCGATATATTTCTTAGGTAAGCACTTAGATTGGCTCATTGCAAGTAACTAAGTGACTAGGAAAAAAGAACAGGTTAAGGAAAAAAGAACAGGATAAGGAAGAAAGAACAGGATAAAGAAATCTCCTGAGCAAAAAACAGCCAAAGTTTGGGAGAACAGTAGTGGGGGTATATTGTCCTCTGTGTACTTGCCTTGCTTGTATTCTTCCCTAGGCATTTGCTTGTAACTACTGCTAAGAGTACTGGGCTATAAGGATTCCTAGTTTGTGGCAGGACAGCTATCTTCATGCTCCCCTAAAACAACTCTGGCCAGTTACTGCTCCAGCAGAGCACAGAGAGGGAGGGAGGAGTGATAATTGCACAAGGAGAAAGGCCAGACCTTACCGTAAGTGACCATAAGGAGCAAAAAGTTGGCATTGTGGAGCAGACGGAGGATTGATTGCACGTAGGAATATTCTGCCGTTGGTCTTGACTGGATCAAGGCCTGAGCTCGGCTTGGAGGGTTCTGGGGCTTCTCCTTGAATACTGAAATCAGACACAAAGTATACCTGTTTGTAATGGTGTCATCAGGGGCCCTGAGCACACACTGTGGGTAGAGACATTTGAGGGATGGCAGAGAGACTAGTAAAACCAAGCATACAAAACACACCAGTGTCCTTAAGCTTTGATCTCCATGCATGAACTCATCCAGGAACAGGAGAGCACAGGCTCCCTCCAACACTAACTCCTCCCACTAGGAAAACGCCTTGCATTTCATTCCTTTGTCTTCAGAAGGATGATCAGCCAGCTGCTAAAATATTATGTGGATTTACAAATGCCAAAGCAAATTAGGAAAAGTCAGACAGCAAAGATGGCCTCTGAAGAGTCCAGTGCCTGGTGAGCAATGACCTATGTATGCCAGGTTTTATTTCAGGCCTGGAACTTTTTAGGCTGGCCAAGTCATCTGCTGTCCCTTACTAGCATTAGCGTCCAGAATTGCCAGTCGCAGGCAATTCTGCTGTGCCAGGTGCTAGACAGCCATTCTTGTACCTTGTCTATTCCCTGCCCCAGATTCTTTGAAGTCTACATCTGATTCAGCCACCGGCAACATGAACAAACTGGCAAGAGGAGCCTATCCAAAAAATTCCACGGAGTTCAGTAGACAACGTCTGCTCTCCAATGAGCATGTCAGTCTTTCATGCTAAAGATTTGGCTTCTACTTCATGGATTAAGCATGAAGTAGGAGAATTGCACCTCTGGTCTCCTGCTACTGCCCTCAGTGCTTCCTTCTATCCACTCATAACTAGTTACCTTTTTTTCTCTTAGGAACAGCTTGTTCCTGTGATGCCATATAACCTGCCTCTTTTTCTCTACCCTGAGGAGGTCATCAGGTCCAAGGCACAACCCAAGGCCCAGCACTCTGTAGGGAAGATAACTGTGAAACTTGGAAGACTTCTGTTGGTTTTTAAAGGATTTACTCATGCCATGGTTTTATTAAGCAGGCAAAAGATGAAATGAACAATTTGGCAGGCTCATTCACAACCTCTTATACTCCCCTTCACATGTGCAGTTCATCAAGGACTTGAAGCAGCAAGATGGGGTATTGCATGACCCTGTCAGCTGCATGCTGCATCACCAGATGACCTTCCCCACCCATTTCCTGGCACACAGCCCCCCCCCCCATCCCCAGGTTGATCTTCTCAGTCCCACCTGGTTTCCTGTGCATGCTCCCACCTCCTTACCTAGGATGACCAGGATGAATAGGGCTGATGCCACACCTGCAGTCATGAAGAACATGATGCTGATGTGGTAGGCCAGCTTCTCCACATCCTCCACATTAGGAATCAGAACTGGAGGGACTACAAAGCCCACAGCGATACCAAGCTGAGCAAGAGAGAGAGGGGATAAACAGAGGCATGATATGAAACCACAACACTGCCACCACCCTATAGCTCAGTAAAGGCTCAACTGAGCCTAATCCGATTTCACAACCAAGATGAAAACCTTCCTTACCACCCAAAAATTAAGAGATAAAGCCAGCTACCCTTTGCAATTAGGCCATAAGAGAGGTTCCCCCACTGCACTTAAAACTGTCAGGATATTCAAGGCAAGGTTTCACAATAGAATTGAGCAGAACGAACACTTGCCTCCATTGAAATGGAGGTCTTGCTTCCCCTGACCTCCCCCATGCATGTATGTTCCTGTCCACACACACATCCCACACATCCCACCTGCTCCGATGCTGGCCGCATTACCCAGTAATCCAATTTTACTCATTAAAAATGACAGAAAACAAGACCATCAAAACCCACTACAATTTTTACTAGGTTAATGAGTTGAAACAATTCATTTTCCAATCGGACAAGCACAAGGAGAAAGGGCCAAGAGAGAAACCTGCCCACTCATAATAAGTGAGATATTAATCTGGCTCCGTCACTTTATGACACTGTTACAAATGAGCGCCCTCCCAAGACAAGACTCACCCTATGACCACCAGGAGAACCTAGAAAAACATCAAGGTTGAAATCAAAAGAAGTGCTGACAGCACGTATCCTACACACTGAGGTTGCTTTTGTGATGGGGTTTGGCAACTGACCCTGGTAAAATGCTCTGAAGGGCTACAAGAAGAAACCCCTACAGCTACAGTCCCTACTGTGCCAAAAGCCCCTCATATGTTCAGCTGAGAAGCTCCTGCAGTGGCAGCATGCAGCCTGGTGAAGATATTAGGCCTTTTAACTCCACAGCTATTTCTTCAGTTCAGCAACAAAGCAATGCAGCACGACAGGCTTTGCCACACACTTTGCAATGAGAGCGACTGACAGTAGCACAGACCTTCAGTGCCACCCTCAAATGGAAGAAAGAAGAAATCACTGCTTCAGTGCTTAGGAGCACACTCTTCTTTCCATAAAGTGGGAGCCAAAGTGCACTCAGCATATTCATGAGTACTCCAAACTGCAGAGGAGCCTACAAAAGCCATTTTTCCCTCACTCCTTGAGTTACACTGTTTGTGCCTGTATTTCAATCACCATTTGGTTTCCAAGGACTGTGTATTTACCTGTCCCCCCGACTCTTCCCAAGCATTTGCAGGCATCTTGGTCATCTGAAAAAGAGGCATGCTAAAGCTCAACTCCCACTTGCTCTCAAGGCTCTGCACACTCACCCACGTTTGGGGAAAAAAACATTTTTTTGTTGTTTAGCAACACCCTCACTTAGCAACACAGGCCTGATTTAGGCCTATATTTGCTGTTGTGGACAGTGACCAGGCACACACAAGAGCATTCAGTAACTGGAAGGACTGAGAAGGCATCCAAGAAAGAGAGATACCAGGTGGCCATGCAGCCATTCTCATTCTTGCTTGAAACAGAGATTTCCAATCTCTTTTGCAGGCTACGCTATTTGCCTGGAGACAGGAAAGCACTAACAGTAGCAGCATAGTGCTAACTGAACCAAGACTGAATAGCAGCTTAAAAAAACAGTGGTTATTCATGCTACACCAATATAACCTCTATAAAGCCACTGAACTCATCACACTATGAGTAAATGAGGATATAGTCAAAAGTCCACTGCATTTAGTGTTTCCTTATGGGAAATATTAGATTGATGGGAATCAATTAGCACAACCATGACTCATTGTTCCAGACTGGAGAGGATACTGTTTATGCCTCACAGCCAACTGAACAGCAACAAGACAGCCCCACTAGCCAACTACTTCCCTAAAGAAGGATTCTGCAGTGCTCAATGTATTCACAGTCACTGGAAAAGGTCTATGACTCTACAGGTATAGAAAGTAAGGACTAAGAAAGGCAAGTACTATGCTGCCCATAAATCACAACAAAGCACATAAGCTACACAGATCAGATGTCCCAAGAGCCCTGTAATCCAGGCATGAACTCAGACATGTTGCCCAGGTTGCCTTCTAGCAAAACCTCCTCATGCTTTCTGCATGCTTTCTCTGTCATATCTCCATGTTTCTCAAATGCCTCATTTTGGAAGGCCCACTCACTGGCCAGGATAAAAATCTCAGACCAAATACATTTCAGTTGCCATATCTGACAGTTGAGATAAAAGTCAGCTTGTGCCATCCAGCCCGAGAAAACTCTCCACAAAATGCCTACTCCTTCATCCAGCTGGTGGATTTTTGAGACAGGAAGAACACTTATGTTTCAAACAGAGATATCTGCTACCCTCAGACACCCTATTTAGCTTACAAACAAGTAATTTTCAACCATGTCTGGCCAAACTTCTCCTGTATCAAACAGTATGCCCTCCACTGGGACCTGGAATAGCCTGGGTAAGGATCAGCAACAGATACCTGTGCTAAATTCATTCTTGGTGCTGGGACATTGCAGGGAGCCAGGGGGAGTAGCCACCAAGAGATTACAGATGTGCCCCATCAGTTCAGGGTACTGTCAGGAATGAGAACACTTGAGCCTTGGTTACGTGGACTGAAGACAGACGCAAGTTGTGCCATCAAGTCAAGCTTGGACTGAAAGAGCTCAGGAGGAAACTTAAACCATTAGGAAGGATAAACCTTCCTAACACCCACACAGCATAGATAGCCCCTGACACAGGACCAAACTTGCCAGAGCTCAACTTTGTTCAGACATGGTCTATCCTCAGCCTCTCATCGCAGCGAGTCAGGCCAGCTCTCCTCCTCTGCACTGCCCACTATCAGTGAGCACGACTATCAGCTGGCTTAGAGGCTTCAAGCTCTGATCCTCCTCAGATTGCATGCCTCCCCTCCTCTGCACAAGCCTGCAGCTGCACAGAGAGAGTAACTGCATTAAACACAGAAGCTCACAGAGGGGCAAAAGCCTGCTTGTCTCTGCAGTGCATTTATTTTGCTCTGCTTGTGGCCAAGTGCAGGCCTGTGGCTCTGGTGTGCGTGGTCAGCCCAGGATAGAGCCACCCTGGGCTTCACTCCTATCTCTGTAGCATTCCCAAAGGTTCAACCTTAGAGGAAGAGACTCTCAACATAGCTCCTTTCCACTCAAGGGAAGAGTCCTACTGCCTCTTACATATCAGGTCTCACATGTTCCCTACACCCTTTAACAAATAAGGTCTATAAACACCTTTCTGGAAATTGATCCTTTGTCTTACCACTGTTTAATTCTTGGAAGAACTAGGCTGGATTCCTGTGCTACATGCTTCTTGGCCTACTTCTCTCTGCAATCACACACTAGCCACATGAGCTGCTGAACAGCAGCTAAACAACAACAGGAGATCATGCTTTATTCTGACTTTTGACATAAGTTTCTCCAGGACCACAGTTGAGATGCAATCTTTCTGGTCTCCCTCTAGCTGTTCCTTCCTGAAAAAGGATCTATCTGATATACCTAGCAGAGAAGGTATTGAGTGTCTGTTGTGCAAACTGTTCAGAAATCCTTTACTGGGAGGTCCTACAGTCATAATTTACCCAATGTGACACAGACTTAGCATTTTTGGACACTACTTGTTGCCTTTTCAGAAGACCTGAACAATTTTTCTAACTATAAATGGATGTTTTGTCCTCTCCCTTCTCCTTCCAAAAGAAAGGAACCACTTTTATCCATTAAGAGTTCATTATACCTTTGGTAGTAGAATGAACAAAAAAATCATAGCAATAGGAACTACATTTTATATTTCAGAGCAACTGATGCTATTAATTCTGTGAAGATGAATCTCCCTGACCTGGCCAAAACTGAAGATTTCCTGAAGGATACTCAAAAACCCTGGATTAGTCATAACATTTTTACCAATGAAGACAAGCTCTCAACAACATGAAGAATATTATACTGCACATATTTTACCTTTCACAAGGAGATTTTTAGCCTGGTTCTCAGCAGATCAGTACCCGCATCACCATCAGCCCACAGACAACACTGTAACCGATTAACCAGAAAATTCAAAAGGTAACTTAGAAAGAGAAAAATAACTTTTCTCCCTTCTCCACACCTTTCACATGAGGGAAAATAAAGCAATGTAAAACAAAGGTTGGTTCTGCAACAATCTGTTTTACTTTTCTTACAAAGACCATCAGTCATAAGGGATCATAATGCAGTCCCTCTTACCAGCATTTCCAACCTTTATATAGGCAAAAAGGAGTCCAAGACCTATAGAGATAGGCTCTAGTTCCCAAAATGTGGCACATCACTCAACATCCTCACACTCAAAACCCCCAGGACTGCCCTGATCCCCAAGGATCTCTCTTCAGGAACCAGGCTGCTGGCACTTTATTTTAAAAAGGCTTTGGGGTAACTTTTAAACAGACTACCAGGGAATCAACAATGACAACAGAGTGCACTGTTCAGACAACTTTTTATTTAAAGGCTGGTTAAAGACAGAAGGAATGTATTTCCTACCTGAATTTTGTCAAGGAGCAGTCACAACAACATCATATTCAAGATTCAAGTGTATACAAGAATAGCCAACAAAACCAAGACCAAGTAGCTAAGAAGATGGTACAAATGTACCCAAAGCCTTGAAATGGAAAATGAGATCTCTTAGGTTTAGGTGATTATATACTCAAAGTCTGCTGAAGGAAGATAATCAGTGGTATATCAGCATAAAATCTGTAAATGAATGATCGATGGAAGAGTGGAGGGTGGGAGGTGGACCTCCACCTCAAAAAAAACTAAGAATCAGCAACAGGAATACAAAAGCCCTATGAAATTCCATAAGTACAGATGTTGACAGAGGAGACCACCAAACCCAGAAGGTCAATTAAAATGTTAAAAGGTCGAAAGAGAGAGATGCTGCAAAAGCAAAAAATATACAACAGTAAGAAATTTCAACAATGCCCTTGCAAGCTAAATAAGTGTCATGACAGGGATGATGCAGAGACTGCAATTTTTGGATTCCATAAATACTCTTTTCTGAGGAGAACTTATAAGAGGCAGCACAAT